GTCCAGTGTCATTTCCCGTTTGAGGTTGCAAACGGGATATGACACTTTAGTCACTGAAAGTTTCGTTACCCGACTCAGTTTTACGAACGGCATCCAAAAATTAGGTCTGACCGTCGGAAATTGATAGACACGCCAATGAGATCAAATGAAGAAAAGTTGACGAAAAGCCTTTGCTGCAATTTATTCGCTCTGAAACGGTCAAGTATTTCATTACTTCACGGAATCAGCATGGAGTTCCAAAAACCCTAAACGAAGGCCAACGTCTCCTCGATTCCGGTCAATGGACGGCTAAGAATATGATATTTTTCCATTTTGGACGATATAGACAAATTTGCTGACACCGACGTCATCATTGCGAATAGCAAGACTTTCAATAAGCTGGCTATTCGCCACTTCCAGAAGGGTCAGTGGTTTGTGCTATTCACGCCGTATCGTCTGTGGGAGCGAGCTCGGTGCAGTCGCCACTGGAAATGGTACGGCAACCACCACCAGCTGCAAGGCCGCACCATGAGCCTAAAGATGTTGTCGGCGAATGCAGTCGAGGCGGCCGTAACTCGCAGCTGGTCCCAGACCACCAAACAGAGATGCTACCGAGTGACAGAAACCCTGGCAAGAATACTTCTGATACTCGTGGAACTGCAGTGCTACATGGTACACAGGCGCGGGTTCATCAACATGGAGTGCACAGTCCGGCAGGCCTTGTCCCCCATGTCTACTCTGACCTTGAAGGAGATGGCGGGAAGGGCCGTCCTGAAGGAGCTTCTGTCAGTCGTCAAGAAGCCGACGGAGCAGACGACGGAGGACTGGATGCCATTCCCCTTCTTCGTCTTCTCCTTGGAGATCCCCGTTTGTTTGAAGACTTTCATTCTGTCATGGGAATGAGAGCTTCGGGTTTTCTGGGCCTCTCCACAAGACCCCGATCCGGCGTCACAAATGTTCACAAAAAAGATAAATCCTTAGTATGTCTCTGCGTCAGTCTACGTGTCTGTGTTGGAGTTCCATTTTAGAGTACGCGGCGCGACGTGCGGCGATTTCGGGTGAGTACGTTCGATTTTCTTGTTTTCATTTTTAACCAGCCCCTCCACCTCCTCGACCGTTGATGCGGTTACGCCCACCATCTCCGTCGACCTCTCGCCCGCTCACCGTTTACTACGCACCTTTGACCTACTAACCCCACCGACCTTTCTGAACCTAAAAGTAACTATCACGTGACTTACTCACACGCAACCGGATTGGGGTCAACCTGATCTATACTGCACCGGAAGTAGGTCAAGGGTTAGAGGTCAAACTGATCTATTCTAACTACCATTACTACTCCCGATGTTTCCGTGTATGGTGGAATGTTCAGCTTGGGTAAACTTGCCGACCATCTTTCTGGAAGAACTGCAACAGGTGTACCTCCTACAGCCCTAGCACCCCTACGTCGTGTAGCCCCAGCATCCTGGCGTATACCATCTCTCGCTGGCCTGCCTTCCTGTCCTGTTGTAGAATGACTTGGTTGGGCTTGATGCGAGTCTTCACTTCCAGAGTCGTTACTGAGACCTCCGTCGTCCGAGATGTCATTTGAACCTACAGGAGTTTCCTCATTTTCACTGGCAGAGTCACTGTCTTCCTTCTCCTGTAAACATCGATGAAATGATACTGGTATTTCGTTTTTCAAAAAAACATTGCATACATGTCATACGTGGAACATTTGTAAAAAAAAAATAATTTAAAAAAACGCGTGATCTGTCCAGTTACATTTTCCCCCCAAAGGAAGATGGCACGAGCTTTATCGCTAACACTGCCCGACTGATTTGGACAATGGTCACAATGCGCTCTTCCCACATTGCATTTTGGCCGACCATCGACCATTTTCCAAAATCAGCCGATTGGTATTTGAAATGAGAATCATGAAAATATCGCCATCACTAGCGTTTCTTTTATGGCTATCAGTTACTTCGCCGAAACTGTGTCAAAAGACGGCATCATGTGTAGATTTGAAGTAAAAAAACTTCCAACCAACGTACCCTATTTATCAGTGACCAGTAATAGGCCTACACATTACATTGTGCTTTATTTTGGCTTAAAGTAGGCCCTACCTAGGGCCTAGCTAATGTTACATGTACCTCTACAAGTAGGCCTAGACTGACATGATTGATGTGGTGTGCATAAATTTCAAAATTCCAACTTTTCCTGCTGTCACTGCCGCCTACCCTGTACTGCACTTCAGTTCAAAAAAATCCTTCAAAATCAAACCTACGACAGCTGGAAAATACAGTCAGTTTACATCATGCATGATAAATTTATTTTCGTCAGTCCTAGTCGCCCGAGCCTAGCTGTAATCCGTTACAATATGCATATACAAAATACAAAATGTAGTCACATTTTGCTTGTCCAAAATGATCATGTTTGAGAGTAGGCCTGAATTTCGAATTACCTGTGAAATGTCGAGGTCACTTTTTGCAGCTAAATCTAAGCTATTGGAGCCATCATCCTCTTCGTCCAGCTGATTCATAACGTCCTCTGACGACAGTATCACCGCCGCATGTCACAACACGGACATGGCGCAGGTTTCACATTGGCGCAGTTGCACGACTGTATACATTAGTTCCTACGTTTGCTGTATACTCGTATACATGTGCATGTGCATGTTATGCACAATGACAGGGCATGGGCACCGTCTAAGTCTTTTCCTTATACGGCCAATTACGTCATTTTTTGCCAATAGTAACCACCCCGGTCCCTTTGATCACTCCATTGGAGAGAGAAAGAGTCAAGGTATATGTACATGTTTGTCAATAGAGCGCACACTTTACAATCATGCTGGGATTTTACCTTTGTCTTCCTCAAGTAATTTTAGGAAAAGTCACATGGAGAAAATAATAATTATCTCTCCGTTTGGATACTGGCCGGGAACATCTGCACAATATTCCACAGCACGACGAATAAATTTACCCCTTTGCTACGTGTTAAAAATTCCCAACGGACGTCACGCCGCCCCTGAGACTTCGTAATTTTTACATAATGATGTATGTTACACTTAGGTTCTACAATAAAGAACAACAGTAACGCTCCGCTCTCTTTGAATTTGTAAAACCGTATACATGTACAGGGTAACCGACGTAAAACACGCTAGTTCAAAGGAGTAAGAAATTAGCTAGGGACGGCAGGGTCTTCTTCCTGTATCGATCAGATCTCGGTAGCCACAGTGAGCCGAAAGCAAGACCGTTGGCATGTGGGTGCCCTCTCTCCAAATTTAGTGTCCAAGGATTAAGTCGATCAGACAAACGCTCACTTCCAACGTACACAATATGATCATTAACACAATAGTCCGCCGACACATCCCAACCACTACGTACAGTCCATTGTCTAGGGATTATCCGTATCATTACCCAGCGGCACGTGCGGCCTTTTGTTTAGGGGTTATCGCTTCCTACTCCTTGATTACCTTAGCACCTCCGTGTAGGCCCAGTCGGTATTTTTCCGTGACATCACACCACCTACGACTAATCGTCTCATGGCCATTATGTCATAAGAACGGTCAAATTGTACCGAAAATTTTTACCCCATGATATGCCTTATTCATCTTTAATCCCATACACAAGTTTATCTTGTACCACACTTTCCGACCCTATGCTATTCCTATTCATCGCTAGGTCATCTTGTGCCAACATGTTACTCTACACCTCATTCCTATTCATATTTTTATGATCATAATTATCATGCCTATGCATATTGATGTGTCCTTTTGCTAGGTCAAACTGTACCCAACTGAACCCCCCATTACTAACAAACCGAGCCAACATTTGCTCATGCAAAATAAATTTGCATGAATTGTAATTTCTTCGATTTGACCGAATCACATGTGTCTGGTCGCTTCTCAAAGCTCATGCGCACTGCATGCCACTTGGGCCGTCCGTCAATAAAACGACACTACAAAATATCCCCAGATTTACGAGGCACAGAGTTTGGAATAGTGTTCTAACAAACTCACGTGTACAAAAGAGTGGTCTATTCTGAACCGTTAAAAACATAAAGACGTGACGATTTGGTTCCTTATAGGATAGATAACCGTCAAAAATGACTTTATACAACAGTCATGCACCAGTTTTTGCAATTAAATAGTAGTTTTTAAAACCCTTTTCTACTGAAGACTTTTGTTATCATGGAAAACAAACATGAACACCGACCCCTTAAGCAGGCTCAAAAGCGAATTGGTTTATCTGCGCAGTTTACCTGTCTTTACCGTTTTTGTTATTAGGTATTTGATCCAACAAAATATACGAATTTTTTTTTTGATAAATCAGAAGTTAACTACCACATTTGCTGAATTTAGGCGAATACGCCAGATCATACTTTCCTCGCAACTTATATTTCTACATTTAGGCCTGTATCATTACAGTTTCAAAGAATAACATTATGAAGACATGCTTTGAATTTTGACACACTTTTTGCGTACCTAATTTTCTTCGATGTTCAAGAACAACTTAGAATTCTTGTGGTGTTAAGAAAGATGCACTTTAAATCAAGCTCGACAATGTCCACACTTTCCCGATAACTGAGTTCTAGACTTTGCTGTGATGTCACCCAGTGCAAAGACATTGTTCGTTTTAAATTTTGTCATGTTTAAATTGTGGACCAATAATTTGCTCATTTCTCAGAAAGGGTTACTTGTTGGCTTATTACTGTGTATTATCACGACAAAGAATAATCGAGAATAGGACGCACATGTAGAAAAAAATCCCGGTTTCTCCCAGGAATGGCATTATTTTTTTTTCCTTCTGGAAATTCGCATCAGTATAAAATAAAAATACACTAAAACCCTTCAAATTAAAACTAAAAATCGAAGTGAGGACAGTTGAAACACCAATCACTATATCTTCAAAAGACTGTGTTTAAACACTGCATTGGAGTTAGGTAAGCTAATTCTGCAACTCAATCGATTCGACCTTCACTTTTGTCATCCACCAGGATTGTTAGCAACTCTCTTGCTGTTGGCCGCCACGTGCGCTTTTCACATGAGCATCATTCCATGTTCGCAGAGTCACACCCTCTCCACGCTCCTCAAATGCTACCTACGACAGCAAGTCTACTCCTTGCGCGAGGCCTTCATCAAACGGAAGTTGAGGCAAATGTGGAGAAACCCGCGCCCTGCTCAGGAGAAGCTGCTGCGTCAGTTCATCGCCCGAGACGCCGAGACCGAGTACGGTAGAACACATCACCTGGGCAACATCAAGAATCTGGCTGATCTGCAGACGAAACATCCCTTGACTTCCTATGACCATTATAAGGAGTACATACAAAGGTTAGCGGACGGTGAACAAGGTGTCTTCTTAGGGGAGAAGACTGTCAGATTTGGTGTCACCAGTGGTACTACAGGAGCCGGTAAACTGATTCCCATCGTTGCGTCTCGACCTGTCTTGGCTTCGCATACTATGTATGAATTGAGCTTTGCAGCCAACGAAAGCTTCGGCAAGCCGGGTCCCTTACAGCGCAGTTGTCTGTTGTTCTGCAGACCCACCGTGAATCATACCAAATCTGGTCATTTGGTTGCACCGTTGTATCACGTGCCCGACGACCAGCACCTAATGGATATGAGTAACACACCGTCAGCAGGATTCCAGCTCTCTAACGACTTCGAGTCAAACTACGTCCACCTTTTGTTTGCCATCCTCGACAAGAACCTTGGCCTTTTCCTCGCCCCCTTCACCAAGCTGATGGTCCGGGCAATGAAACTGATTGAAGACAACTGGCAGACCATGCTTGATGACATCACAAAGGGAAGGATCAACCCAGATCTCGCCATTTCAGACGAGATTCGGCGCGATTTGAACGCTGCCCTTACGCCAAATCCTGTCAGGGCTGGTGACCTCCGCGCAGAATTTTCAAGTGGTTTTGTCGGGATCGTCTCGAGAATTTGGCCCCACCTAAAATACGTATTATCCATGGACACAGTCGGTCTCCGGAAGAAATTAGAAAAGACTTATGCGAAAGGTAATGACTTGAAATCTACGTCAAAAGGTATAAAACCACCTTCAAATTTCCTCTGGCTTAATTGTTACTGGGCTTTAGTTGTGGAAGAAAGACGTTACCTGGATTTGAACTTGCAGCGTTTCCATCACCAACTTATGTTCAGTCAGTATGGAGCTTTATTTTGGTGATTTTGGTCCAACCTATCAATAGTTTTGTTCAGGGTACTACGATACAAATCCCTCGTTCAACGATATCTTCAGAAATAACTCACAAGCCACAAGAATTTATGCATACGCCACACAGCACACAGTTTTAGAAACAAAATATTACTCGTAATTACTGTTGATTTAGATTTACGTGATTATTGCTTCTTCGGACAGGAACAGCAGTTTACTCGGGTTCATATGCGAGCACGGAGACGTTTATTGGAACGAATCTGTGGCCCCACTACCCGCAGCTGAAATACTGCCTGTTACTGCACGAATGTGTCTTTGAGTTTATTCAAGAGTCCGACTGGTGAGCAATTGTCCGGCTCAACATGTCCAAATTTTGCTTGCTGTATTCCGATCTGACTAGCGATCATGAAGCCGTTAACGAAGGCTAGCAGTCAGATCGGGTGTCGATATTCGTTTCAATTGCCATTAGTGGAGAGGTACGTTTTCAGATCTGACGAAAAAAGATATATCAGTGGCCCCTATTTTGAAATCATCTATCACCATGGCTATTTCAAGTCTTCCACTTGATCAACTACTTCATGACTAAATGCACACTCTCATCAGTAGGCTAACCTCTGATGTTCCTTAAATTTTCAGCCAGGAGGAAAATCCCAAAGGTCTGCTTATTGACGAAGTGGTGGTCGGGCAGATCTACGAACTTGTGCTCACAACTCGAGGAGGCTTGTACCGTTATCGAAATGGTGACGTGGTCGAGGTCGTGGACATGCATGAGAAATGCCCGGTTATTCAGTTTAAGTACAGGTGAGCAACAATGGAAGACAGTGTACGAATTACTTAGCCATCCGCCCCGAGCTGAAGTGCACCCCCATTTGGCGAAAGAAAGATAGGTAGTTACAGGCGTGTTCTTGCGCGTTCTGCTTGTATGCAAAGACCCTACATGCCGGAATAAATTAGTTACGCCTACTCAGCGTGCTCCGCGTCAAACGTGCATGTGGGCAATTCCACGGTAACTCGCGGAACAAATATTTGGTACATTTACTGGATAATGTGCTATATCTCTGTAATTGCACGGAACTACAAGTTTCTTTTTTCACTGTGGGTAAAGTAGACATAGACCAACTAAATGAATTAAAAAGAAAAACAAGCGACAAACGTCGTGAGATTCTTTAATTGTTTAATGTCGGGAACTCGCGTTACGAAAAAAGGACATGTTCAATTCTGTGAAAGCCTCTTTTCGTAAAGTCTCCTCAAACTAAACACTCTGGATAAAAATTTCCCTAACTTGAGTTGACGATGGGTTATGACTTGCAAGTTAACAATATCAAAGTTGAGAAACAATTCACAGGCAAAATGCAGGGAGCATACATATCGGTAACTTGCTTTACGGTAACTCGCGTTACATTATGTCCATTCAAACAGCCCGGCACATGTTGATGGCAATTACCTCTTTGGATAGTTCTGCATCTTGTATTAAGTACTTTTACAGATGCACAGTTTTGCAAATAGAAAAATGAATATCTCCAGAGTAATCATGGTATTGATAAACCTATATTGTCAAAAAAATGTCACGACGTTTCTTGGAAGCTACTGCCTGGCGTGCTTTGAACTAATCTTACTGGCCTGTAGCTTTTAGGCGTTGTTTGTATCACTTTTGCTTTTCAGCAGCTGTTTGATGCATATTGTCTTTATGTGGGAAATAAAACAAAATATCTTCACAGTATATTTCAGTTATATATATTTTTTTCAATTCCACCCGAGATTCAGTTTATGTGTGGGAAAATTGAGGCCAGTTAAACTTAAAAGTCTAATAAAAAATAATTTCATTAAACTTGTTAAAATCATAATTGACTTCATTCATTCACAGTTGTAACAAAATAAGGTTCAAGTCCTAAGTACAGCTCCGGCATTGTATTGACTGTTGCAAGTCATAATTTGAATAGACCTAATGTCTTTTGTATGGGGGGCGGGGACCACAAGTGGCGTCCTACGTAAACAAAATAGCACCATGGACACGAAAGCACTCTCCACCAAGAAAAATGACCCATGAATGGGCAACATTTTAAAGAACCAATGACAAAGTGAACACCTGTTTTATCAAAATGATCTACATTAGTGGTTTCTGTACAGGGATGCCGTCCTTACCGACTATACATACACATTATTGAAAAGTAATCGTTGTGACTTCTTTATTTCGTCCGGTGACATTGATTTCTGCGTAAAACTTAAGGCTCATTCTGTTACATTCTTTGACTTTTGATTCAGTAACCAGGTTGCTGTGCATGTCAAGTTCTTCTTTGTTATAAAGAAAATCACTTGTTTTGGGTATATGATTAGTAAGGGTATTGCAGCATACCTGTGTACAAAAATTTTGAAACGTCCCTATGGACGATAATTCCATCGAAACTGTGTTTACACAGGAGGTTTGCCAACAGAAGTGGAAGGGGTGGTGTGTTAGCTCCCCTCAATAGGTCCCAAGCTCGACAAGAAAAGGGCAGAAGTTTCCTAGCGACGGAGGCTCCTTGGTGGTAACTGTACAACGCTCGTTCAACAAAGACTAGGAAACGCAAGCACTGCATTCGCATCGCTACCAACAAAAAGTACGCTCTCCACAAACATGGCTCTTTCAACCGATGGGAAGGTGCTTCCGCATCAGGTGGATAAAGTGAAAAGTCAAAAGTGTGTCTTAAACCTGTCTAATAATGTTAACTGTTCGCAGGAAAGCAGAACTGTTGAACCTTCGCAGCGAGAAGGTGACAGCTGTGGTGATGCAGTCGGTGGTAGAGGAATTCACCTCTCAGGTGGCGGGATCCAAACTTGTGAACTGGACGTGCGCAGAAAGTCTCCTGCTTGCTGATTTAGAAGGTATCTTTCTTTGCAGTATGTTTGCATAAAATAATATCTGAGCATTTCAGAAGCACAGTATGTCCCTAAAAGAGCCGGGCGGAGTACGACCCTACAACCCTCAGAGTTTTCTGAAAAGGTGGCACTGTCTTTTCTTTCACGCGTTAAGCCCTAATGAGTTCTTGTAAGTAATCTCTTACCATGATGTTGTTACCTATTTTGTGAAAATTTGATTTACCATCTTCGTCCACTGCCCTTTTTGCAAGACAGGCCGGTAAAGACCACTGATGTGCTCAATAACTGATGTGCTCACCCCGATCTTCTAATGATCATAAAAACCCAACCAGATGTCAGATTAAGTTGAAATATCACATCCGTTCTGTTTTATCATTATCTGCCATTGTATAGCCGAGTTCTAGGGGACTCATGGTCCAAAATATCCGGATGCTGTAAGGTTAAAGACGCCGACTTGGTTTCCCCGCTCATCGTCTAAAAACATCTCAACATTCCTAAAATCGTCTCAGCTGCCTATAGGCAGCAAATAGCCCGGTCATGCCCCGTTAGAGATACTAACAATTTAACACACAAAGCCCTTGACTGAAGAGAGGCACGTAGGAATAAAATGACTTGCCCAAGAGTGCAGCATGCGACCAGCTCTTGGAGTCGAACCAGGAACCTTTGATTCTGAGCTCAAACTCTCCACCAAGAGGACTACTGTATAACACAGTTACACCGAGAAGCAGAGCAGGTCTCGACAGAAGCAAATCCAACCATTCTGAATTACGGTTCTCCACAGGGGAAACCTACGAAATATTCTACATCGTGTTTCTTGAACTGGAGAATGTGCCGCCGCTCGAGGACACAACAAAGTGGGCTCAGAAGGTATTTTCTCTCGTCAGGGCGTTTAAAGTTTGTGATTCAGCGTGAAAGTTTCACGTGGCTTGGAAAACCAAGCTCAATACATTAGAATAATTGACGTATTGCAGACTCATTAAGAGGGTGCTACAGGGCAAGGGTCTATAATGATCTCATTTAATATTTTTAAATGATAGTATGTCCATATTGGATTAGCTGGGATACCAAAAACTAAGGTACCCGGGGTTGCTCACATTTTTTTGCTCAGGGGGCGTCGGAAGCATATAAGCTATGGCTTCTATATACAGATTACATGCATTGCAAAATTTCAGTTAGGGACAGGGATCACACGTGGGGCACACAGCTCCCCATCCCCGTAGCTTTGACACTGCAAAAGGTGTAACTTGCTTACCGATACTTCTGCTCCACTGTAAAACTTCTAGGGTCACTGCTACTGTGCTTGTATTTGCGAGTACCCTGCGTTCTTCAGCTTGCCTACCCACCTTTTCGATTCCATTTCAGTTCGACAAAATTCTGCGGAGGCACCATCAAGTTTACAGCTTGCTCCGCAACAGCGCCACCATAGATATGGCTCACGTGCACCGGGTAAAGCCAGGCTCGTTCAAGGAGTTGCAGAAGTTCATCTTGTCCCACAGCACAGCCTCTGTCAATCAGTACAAGTCACCGCGCAAGCTGCGCAATCGAGGTGTCCTCAAATTGTTGATGTCTAATGTTATGTAGTCAGTTCTTGCCGAGAATGAAGAGAACAACCTTTCTTGAAAAACTACCAGCACCGCGGTTTCATACTAGCGATTAATCTTTACAAATTTAATGAAATGTTTGAGGACTGGGTTCTTCATTTAGGCCTATATCCCTTTTCTGAGCCTCTAAGAACCGCAATGTTCATCACAAGTTCAGTAAAATAAACTCCTTATCCGTTAATATTGTAAACATATTTACTTGCAGGCAATTACCAAAATGCTATCGCAGTATCCTGTTCATAAGTAACTTCGTTAAATACGCAGACGCGCCATGATTTTCAGGCTCCCATTGGACGATTCCTTAAGTTGTGAGTTAACTTCGAGTTCCATAGTTCCATGTTCACGGCGACCAATGCACGTAACTCTATGAGCAGTTCATGTGCTGTGGGGGTGGTTTAAAGTGAAGCGAACTCACACTAACGAACTGGGTAGCCCAAGGGAGGGAAATCATCATACGGATGATGTTACGTGCAGTCTGTAACGAAGAGTTGTAAATAACTCTTGGTCAAGCACTATGCAGACATCTATGTACATGTAGGTCTATTGAAATTTTCGGTTTATTTGGCTAGCTGCTTTACATTATGTTTCCGTAGTGGTAGGTTTATTCAACCTTTACTAGATTACTCCTAGAAGCTTTCATACAATATTAAAGGTGACCATGTTTCTTTTTTCTTAATCCTTAATTGGAATTGCACCTTTGTGTTCGAAATAACTATTTCCTATTTTTGTTATGCTATTTTAATCTGTGATAGGGCCTTTTGGCTAAACCTCTAAAGAGCAGGGTTATTTTGGCCCATCCCACATCAGAAAAATGCACGCTGTGCATTAGTATAAAGTATATTACATTAAGAGTAACTCTAATCATAAAGTCTCAACTCCTGAAACATATACTGCCGAGATATCGAAAAGAATGTCGAGCGGGACGGGGCGGATTCCATCCCCGGATTAATGCTATTGAAAATTTGCATATTTATGAGCAAAGTGTGATGTTATATTAGGCGCTGAAACTGAAACTTTTTTTTCTATTTTGCACATTATCAAAATAACTCTCATTACTAACGCGTCATTGCTTTTATTGTAACCATACAACTATAGTTGGAATGTACGTGTTTCATTCGTCAGAAGGTGTTAATTACCACCAGTAAACGCGTTTTTGTATCGTTATTATGACCCAAATGTGTCTTTGTGTCTAAATTTATCGAGACGTCTTTGCTATAAAAAAACTAAACACCATAACGTGTTTAGCTTTGGATAATACCACCACAACACGTTTGTGAAGTGTCACCAGGAAGGCCTTTGAAAGACGTAAGAACATTCACATTTGTTTTCACAGTGCAGTCGTTAATTTCCGTTTTTTGAACAATATACTGTTTTGTAAGTATACCAATAAACCATTGAGCAATCCTTTCACAAAAATGTTTTCAAAGAGAAAAACTGGGTTCACAATTTGAACATGAGAACATGCAAAGTGAACATTGTCTTCCCTCCAGCAAAGTTTGGACAGTATGTAATATTACAAAAAAAGAATTTTAAATACGCTTAACTTTAAAAGGATCTCAGAGTTTTCTTAATTGAAGAAAAGTACAAAGATGCATAAAAAATTAGTCGAAGAAAAATCCATGGCGTTTGTTTAGGTGTCTTCAAAGTGATAGATTTTATTTCTATACCCGCGAATGTCTACACTGTGGTGTAGGGTCCCACCCGGGCAAAAGTATATCCACGGGGCTGAATTGTACAAGCATCACCATTATGCCTGACTTTAGCTATGAACGAGACCAACGGGCTACTCACGCTGGAAGAGCTATCAATAGTTCGCGAGAAGCGGACGATGTGCTTCATGTGCATGTAGGCCTACTACATTCCATACAGATGCTGACATTTGACTCTAAAATATGGATAAAAGTTAAACTGCAATTATAATATCTCCGCAAGCATGTGGCAAAACAGGTGTAAAACAAGCTTCATAATTATAAGGATTTCGAACTGATAGTGTTGCGGAAAAAGCACAAACTTCCTTGAGTTTACTTTTTGCGCAATAATGATTGCACTACGCTGAGCCTGCATTGGGATGAGGAAGGAAGCGCTCGGGTTTGTCGAACCTCTCTTGCTTCTCTGGCAAAATGGCTTTATTTGATTGCAAATCTATCGAAAACCTAACCATTATTGAAATCAAATGTGAGCTAAAGAAACGTGGACTACCTCTGAATGGATGTAAGGCAACTTTGCTTGATCGTCTGCGAGAAAGCCTTACACAGGATAATTTGGTACCCGGGGACTGCAAGACTGAGCTGACCGACACGACACCGGAACCTAATCAGTCAGTATCCAAGGACAATTCGGTGAGTTTGCATTGTATTCTTCATTCTCTTCACCAGTTGTGGGACAGTATCAAACAGCTTGACCAGAAATTCACCAACCATATCTCGGTAATATCTGAAAAATTAAATACTGTAATATCGGATAAGGAAAAGCTAAAGCAACTTGAAGCAGAAAAGCTGGAGCTACAGGCCACCATTGATATGCTAACGAGCGATAACAGTGGGGCTTTTATCTCTGTACCTTGTACTACAGTGAAGCTAGGAAAGCCACCTTCAACAATGGGATCCACCCCAGTCCCAACAAAGAATCAATTTACACCACTGTCTACAGATGAGCTGGCTGTCAATCATGCCATCGAATTTTCCGCCGATGATAGCGTAACAGAAGCGGAGAAACTGATCGACCGTTGTTACAATGCTTTGATACCTTCAGCAAGTGGTGATGATGCTAGTCCAACTACTAAACCAGTCCACTCACCAACTCTTCAACGAATATCGGCAGTCATGTTTCCTTCCAGCAACAACTACGTCACTATAAGGAGAAACACACCAATCGGCCAGGCAGTCCGCCAAATTGTACAGCCGATCTGACGTGACGGTACCAGCTCTGTACTCCGGAGCCCTTTGTAATCTGACTGGTCAGAAGCAGGGTAACCCGAGTGGTAAGAACCAGGGTTTTCTGAGTCCACTTTGGAAAAGCTGGAAACGCCGTTGTCTTTGCCAACCACCAGAGAGTCAAACGAGATGGCTCGACGCGAATCGCCGTCCTCCCCTTCCACTTCAAGAGGCAGAGGGTCGACGGCATCTGCAGTAGTTGTCCAGTCGGAGCAGCAGTCACTTTCTTGATATGAAGCCAAGGATCTTATTAACGGTACTATTCACCCATACTAACTAACGGTATAAAATATGCCCGTTTAAACCTCCATAGCCTTGTACTAAAGATTGACTGCTCACGATTTCTGCTTAAAAATACTCTGTTTGATGTGATCTCCCTTAATGAAACTATGTGCGATGATTAAATATCTGACTCAGAGGTACTCGTTGATGGTTTTACAATGTATAGAAGGGACAGAAGCCGGCATGGCGGCGGAGTGGCTGTGTACGTTTCTAACAGACTTACTGTAAAACGAAGGTATGATTTGGAATCTAAATCCTTGGAAAATGTATGGCTTGGACTGCGCTATCCGCATAGATCATCTAGTCTCATCGGTTGCTTCTATAGTCCCCCAGTGCAACCTGTGAATTCTTTGATGGATTTGAAAAGAATACTGATTTAGTATCCGCTGAAAATAGCATCTGGAATCTGCTTGGTGACTTCAATTCTGGTTTTATTCACTCCGATCACTGATAACCAATGCTGTGAGTTACAATCTCTTACTTCATCTAGTAGGTTCACTCAATTGATTAACTCTCCCACCAGGGTGACAAACCACAGTAAAATGATTATTGATCTCATCTTTGTAGCTAAATCAGATTTTTTTTATGATTTCGCGGTTTTTAGTTACAAGTATAAGTGATCATTTTTTAATTTATGCACTAAGAAGTTTGAACTCGAACTTTAAATCTTTTTATAACCAAAATAACTGTGTTACTTATCGTTCTTTTAACCACCTAGATGAGGAGGCATTTAAAAACGACTTAAGGGGTATGCCTTGGGATGATCTTATTGACACAGTTGGTGTTGATACTGCCCTAGACATATGGGTTAATATGTTTATGGATGCAGTCGATCAACATGTACGTGTTCGCACCAAGAAAATTCGCAAAAAAGCTTGTCCGTGGATTACTGACGATGTTGTTCAAGTGATGAGGAAAACGTGATCATATTTACAAGGTTGTAATCGAGAAAGACGATTCTCAAGCATGGCTTGAATGTAAGGCGCTTCGAAACAGGGTTAACCGTATGCTTACAAAATGTCAGGCTGATTATTATCATGGGTTCATTCGCAGGGGTACATAAGAAAGTATGACCTCTGAAAATACCTGAATGAAATTAATCCAAGTTCTGGTAATTTTTTGCCCAATACTGTTAAGGTCAATGATAAGGATTGTATTTCATCGACAGCCATAGCCAATGCCTTTAACACTGAGAGTCCTCACCCTTCACCTGTTGAAGGACTGAGGACTGTTAGGGTTAATCAACATTTTATCTCCTCTGCTGTTGAGATTACTTCTCATGTTCCCCGGTGTGAGCCAGTTGTTACGAATTGCGCAAGGTCTAATAACGATGTAGCTTTTAACTTTGAGCCCGTGTCCGAAAGTTTTGTAAGCTATGAAATTTCGAAAATGAACTCGAGAAAGGTTAAGTTAAAGTTAGGTTTTCGCCTTCTAAAATTTCCATGTCCGATTGATACTAAATCCTTGACGCACATCGTTAATTTGTCCCTTTCTAAAGGCATCGTTCTTCAATCGTGGAAGAGTGCAAAGGTCATGCCTCTTTATAAATCTGGTGATGCATCTTGCCTTAATAATTACCAACCCATTTCAGTGCTGCCTGTGTTAAGCAAACTATTGGAACGAGCCGTGCATAATAAACCTTTTCAGTTTATTTCGGAAAACGATCTCTTGCACCCTAACCAGTCTGGCCTTAGGCCTCTGCATTCGACCACAACTGTTCTTGTGAAACTGGTAAATTGTTGGTCAAAGAATCTTGACGAGGGTAAATTGACTGGCGTAGCATTAACTGATTTAAGAAAAGCTTTCGATACTAATAACCATGTACTACTCGTAAAGTTAGGAAAACTGGGTTGTTCGAACCTGACGTTTAAATGGTTTAAATCGTACTTCGATAAACTTACGCAGAGAGTTTTCTTTAAGGGCACTACCTCATGAACACTGGACTTGAAAATGGGTGTTCCACAATGATCCATTTTGCCTAACTCAGTTACAGATTGAACCATCGATATGTTTGCTGACGATACTACGCCTACAGTAAGTGGAAGGCATGTGGACGAGTTCAAACAAAAACTGAGTAATGGGGTATGTCACGTGATGAATTGGATTGATGCTAATAAAATGGTACTAACTGTAGATAAAAATAACGGTAATGCTAATTGGATCTCGGCGTAAAATAAATAATATTGAGAATTGATGTTATGGTTAATGGTAACGTCTTCAAACGGGTCAAGGCTACGAAGTGTCTTGGTGTTTTAATTGACGAAGAGCTGAATTAGATACAACAAGTTGATAAGTTGCTAAAACTGCCCTACCTAAAGTTAGGCATGCTTCGACGTGTTAAGCCATATTCCCAAAGAACACCTAAATTTACTTCAAAAATCCTTCGTTCACCTCATCTAGATTATTGCTCCCAAATTTGGTCCGGCAGATTCCAAATGCACACCGCTAAACCTGAAAAGCAACAAAAACGGGCTGAAAGGATTATATTGAATAAGGGTTATTATACACCATCTGTTGAACTGTTCCAAGCGCTGAAATGAATGCCTTTGAACAAACGATTGATTTTTAATCGTGCAGGGCTCATTTTTAAATGTCTGAATAACTTGGCACCAGGATACATGGCAGATGAATTTACCCAGACTATTCAGACTCATGGTTACAATACCAGACATGCCCAGAACTCACTTATCATGCAAAAACTAAGAACTGAATGCTTGCATAACTCCCCATTTGTCACTGTTATTTCTGTCTGGAATAACCTTGACCAATTTGTAAAATCAGAAGAAACTTTAACGAGTTTCAAGGCTGCACTAAATGCATTCCTCTTTTAGTTTTATGTCTGAGTTTTCTTTTTACTTTTAGGTATGTAATTTTCAGTACTTTTCAAGGTGTGTATTGTTTTCTTGTATTCAATCTTTCACTTTTAACGTTTAACCCTAACCCCCAAGGGTGTATGTAAAATCGTATGGAAATTGGAGGATTTGGGACTGTTAGGGTTAATGTTTGTTTCAATCTCTTATTATTTTACATGATTTTAGACCAGTTTTCGTGTCTTCTTTTTGAACCAGTTTGGGTTTTTAGTTAAATTGTAATTTATTAAGTGTGATTTTTTTTGGGGGGGTGGGTTTGTTTTGTTTATGGTTTTTTATTTTTCTGTTAATCTTTATTTATGTATATATAATTTTAACATAACCAAAGTCAGGGCCTTGTGGAAGACCTACCATATGGGGAATACGTTATACCCTGGATAAATATTAGAAATAAATTATACAATGTACGCGTCCTGTGACGTACGCAGGATGGGCGGAGCTCATAGACCCTTCCACTCATAAACTCTATTTACGTGCGCATGCGCATAAATGGCATGTGGAGGCAAAAAGCTAGGGTGGGTCATTGAAAATGTACAGGGGCACAAATTTCAAATTCACTTTCTCTCAGCTTCTGCACTTTTTTTCACATAATTAGAATTTACGAGTGGAAGTGTCTATTTCTGTGCGTGATAAATGCGAGTGTGTTAAGTTCTTGCAAGTGGCAGTGAAGCTGTTAAGACGGAAGTTATTGGTGCTCTTGCGTTTTGCATCCAGCTATATTATGCCAGGCAAGGGCGGTATGTCTGCGTCTGGCAGAACACAGGTTGGGCAGTCCAGCCGTTCACTTGCAGGTGCATTGTAGTAAATTTGGGCTGGGGCCGCGGTGCTTTGTGCATGCGGACCGTGTCACTACAGGAATACTGGGCTATGCAGTTCGATGTTATGTTTAGTCAGTGCAACATTGTGCAGTGCGACTGGGGTCCAGCGTAAGTCTCATGTTATTATATGGCAACACTGGAAAAGCGTTGCTCACAGCGTTCATGTAACGTGGCATTGGCTTGCGCACTGCAAGGCGACATTGGTCAGTGCGTTCAAGTTGCTGATAGAGTGAAGCAATGCAGCGTAAGCTGTATATTGCTAATAGTCTCATCTCAAGACTACACTAAATAATAGAGGTTGTAATAAAGTTTTTCAAAATACAGATTATCCCTATTCATTTAATCAATTAGTTACTTATTGAAAATCCCATTTTTTGTTTGAGATTTATATCGGCAATCTATATTTTCAGGTGTCCTCCTTAATGTGTATTGTCTGATTGGCAGAGAGCATCACAGTCATAATCGGCGGTATACTTCAGTGGGGAATTAATTCCGCGCCTCAGTTTGCTGACAACAAATTAAAAGACATTTTCTTGCTGCTTATTTGCTTTCCTTTAGGATACTCGCGATATTTGTATTAAACACAACCAGTGAAGTTCTTTCTGCCAGCGCACGCGCAGCTCACCGCTAATATTCTGCGTTTCTGTGCATGCTGGTGATCTAGATAGCAGGGGTGGGGTGTCATGAGGGTGTCACACAGCCCGCGTACGCACATGCGTGTTCGTCCACTTTTCTACAGAATAAAACGCGCATAGAGCTGATCCCTGAGTTACCTCAACTCGAAAATCAGGCAGATAGGCTACTGAGCCCAGCATCTTTTCTCAGCAATGGAGTGGAGTGGCAGATGCAGAATTTCAGGCACCGTGTTGGTTCTCGCGGGTGCTTGGTTGATTCGCGCGTTGACGGAGTCGGCCGAATTTGGTCTCATTTTCAACTGCATGTTGGGTGAGTGTTCTGGGGGTACGTCTTATGTGGACGATACAGTTATTACTCTGATCCAAAACCACTTTTTGGAGGGGAGGGGCGCAAACGTTTTTTCGGGGGAGATAAATGTTTTGACGTTTTTCCCGGTAATGTGTCCTTTCTGAGGGATGAAGCTACGTGTAAAGATTTTTTTACACGCTTTGGAACCTGGAGGGAAATGAAATAGATAAAAAGCATGGTATCTCTTATCGTTCCCCCAAAGAAATGGCCCTTCTTTTGCGGCAGGGGATGACCCTCTGTTGGCCCCCCTGGACTCGCCCTTGGTTGTAACTAGATCTTAACTGTTTTTCTGACCATCGTCTCAGGCTTCTCAGACTAAACACTTCTTCCTCAGAGAGGGGTCTGCCTGATGGTGTACACAATATTCTCTACAAAAAGGAATGACCCTCCCAAGATACAAATAATCAGGTTTCATAGTTTCACAGCGAATTGTCATGAGGTTATGAGATTCATGACAGAAAATACACTTTTTCCTCAAGTAAAGATTACGTAATTGTTTTTTACACGTAACTTTGAAATGCAAACTGAACCTAACAAACCAAACGAATAGTTTCATATGTAAATATGACTAAAATCCTTCCAATTTGACAATAGCATGTGTATTTGGGCGCTTTTGTGAGGGAAATGTCTCTTTTTTCAAGATGTATTTTTTTTGCATTGGGCAGATGTTAATTTATAAAACGGATTTAGCCCTTACCCGACGTATATATTGATAAACACTTTTTGCTCAGTGCTTTGATAACAAAATCATAGTGTGGAAAAATCAAGTATGGAATAATCTCAAGTAAGTGAAAAGGTTCAGGGGCATCTTGGACTGAAAACCATTTAAACATTGCAGTATCGTTAGTGAATACTTGAAAAATTTACAGGCCTTTATAATACACTGTAGTACACCATTATTATACCGACTACAGACAAACTTGATATTTAAATACCTCATGGTCTCACAAAATAAAATAAGCCTCCTGAAAATGGCGAATTGATATCAAGCTTATTGATCTGATAATTTGCATGCAAAATTGGCCGCTTATTTCACTGTGAAGTTGACCTCGTTACCTCAAATTTGGCTATTTCGGGCAAAGTGCGTTTCCTATTGGCCTTAAGTTTCATTAAAATGGTAATGGAATGGTAATGGAAGAGTAAAGCAATGTCTGGCATTTATCGCGCTGAAAATTTTATGTAGGTGATGTGTTGGTGAAAATGTTATGAAATATGCCAATTGTTTTATCTTTACAGAAAAAAATGACTATTAATGAATGAGAGAGAAACAATGACACATTACCAGGTCACTTCACGAAATTCCATACAGATGTTGGCATCATTTGACTTCATAACGTAATTTAAAGTCTGTGATCGTAAAGCTAAACAGAGCATGCCTTAAAACATATGTGAATATTGAAATCTTTATTACATGTATATGAGTATTTGAAATGGAAAGTTTGCAGAGTTGTCTTAAAAAACTTTCTTGCTGATTCTTCCAAGTCACCAATGTGCTTTTACAAGGATACTTCTACGCTTCTTATTATTTATATTTTTATTTTGAAAATAAATATCTTTCTTTTAAATGGAAAACCTTTAATATTTAGGGGGCAATTATACTTCACTGGCTGAACACGATATTGTCTAATGTGCGGATTTACGTACAGAACACGTGCGCAGAACACACACCCACACAAAAGGATCAAAAAGAGAAAGGTTCCATTGATTGTAATTGAATATTCTATACATGAACTTCATGGATGGATCAACATCAATCTGTTTTGCTGTATACTTAATCTTCAACGAAAAGTAGACATTAACGAGTAGTAATTACGATTAGACTTTTAATTACATTATAAAGTCCAATGTATAGTTGGCATAGAGAAACTATGTCTGTGGAAAATCCTATTTATACCTTTTTCCGTGTAAAATAAAACAATAAGCAATATTTACTGAAGTGTAAATTAACACATCTGTGTAAAACATTAAATTCCCAGCGCAAAAGTCTTCTCTTCCAGTGCAATCTGTCAGTAAAACCCCAAGATAATCTAAAGGTTAACAATCTGTCAGTGCCAATTTGAAGTGCACATACCAAAACGTGGGATACATTGGTTACTTGGTAGGACTGGCGGCGAATAAGGCATGAACAGGGGTGAGACTGACCAATGATGAAAACAGCTGAAAAAATGAAAAATGCATAAAGAAGCTGAACTGTAAAAATCTCCTATACTTTTGTACACAGCCAGTGAGGAAAAATAGCTGAACTCCAAAACACAAAAAGCTGAAATCAGCTAAAAGCTGAGAAATCTCACCCTTGCGTGAATATTATGTTAAAAATGGGTCCAATACGTGTTCGAGATTTTAATTTTTTTTATTATTTCAAAACCAGATGTACATGTATTAAAATCATATAATAAGCACAATCAAACCGTGGGTTTAGCAACGGATTGGACCGCACACACGATTTTAAGAAATGGAATCTAATGAAAACATTTTTAATTACGTTGTTTATGCCGTTTTCATAATTTTCCCAAGTAAGACCAACTAAGTATCCAGTCATGTACAACTGAGTGGAATCTTTGATACTTAAGCTATGCAAAAAAATCAGTAGGTGATAACGTGGTTTTGAAACATCGAGTCAAATCTGGTCACTCAATTACGGCCGATGATTACTGAGCGTGAGACCGTGCCCCATCCGGTTCGTAAGTGACTTCGTCACAGAGGCGGACGCGCAAGGATTTGCAGGCTCCCATTGGACGATCGCTGCAATAGTGCGTTAACTTCCGGTTCCATGTAATCGGCGATCAATGCATGTAACTCTATGTGCAGTGCATGTCCAGTGGGCGTGGTTTAAACTGAAGTGACGTCACACTTAAGAAACGAATAGACCTTTTCATCAGTATTGGCAGCTCAGTCTCGGGAGACCATTCTAAAAGCACCTTTGGAGTGTTGAGTTGTGGCAGCGTCTGCTGTGACTCTGCAGACTAATGCTCGACTGGCATTCCGTGTACGATTGGGTGGCAGGGGTTACTGCAGCGTACTTTCTGCTTGCCCTCTTCTCTGCTGCGAGCTGGCATCTGCTCACGTCCGCCTCTCCGACGCCTTTGAGGACTGTCTGGCGCCAGGCACCTCGGTTTACAGCTTGTATCTCCCAACTGTGTTGGGAGATATTGCAGGCCTTCAAATCACACTTGAAGGTGTCTGTCAATTGGAGTAAGGGGCGGCCGACACGTCTGGTGCCGGATGCCAGCTCGCCCTACAGGATGTCCTTCGACAGCCTCCCGTTCGGTATACGCTGGATGTATCTTAGCCAGCGTAGGCGCCGTAGGCTATGCAGAGAGTACATACTGGGGGTTTTGGCACACTGTAGAATGTAACTATGAGAGATGTGGTACTGCCAGCTAATTCCAGGTATGCGCTTGAGGTACCGCATGTGGAAGGTTTAAAGCTGGTGCTCCTGTCTCATGTAGTTAGTCCGGGACTCACTACCATAGAGTAAGGTACTGAGAACACAAGCCTAGTAGACTCGGATCTTTGTGTGTTCCCTCAGAGCTTTGTTTTCCCATACCCTCTTGGTCAGCCTCGTGATGGTGTTTGCCTTCCCAGGCCGTCTGTTGAGTTCAATATCGAGTGACAGGTTATTGCTGACAGTCGAACCCAGATAGGTAGAAGTTGTCCACGACTACAAGGGCGACGTTGTCCATATTAATGGAGGGGACAGCACTGATACCTTGTACGCAAATGTTTCTACAGGCTTGTAATAAGCCCAAACTACTTGGCGTTGGCGAAGCGGTCACTCAACCTCTGGAGGGGCGTCGTCAGAATGGGTCACAAGGGCTACATCGTCGGCGCAAAGCATCTCTCTGACAAGAACCGACCTCACCTTGTTCTTGAAAGACCGCAGGCGAGCTAGGTTAAAGAGCTTCCTGTCTGAAAGAGAATCTAGGGAGTGGCCCCTTTCACAGCAAGGCCCATCAGGGCCCAAGGCAAGTAGGCCATGCCTCATGATCCGCGCCCACCCGGGCATTGAAATCGCCGAAGAGAAATAAAGACTCATCTTTTAAAGAACCTTTGATCAGATCATCAAGCTGCCTATAAAAACTGGTCCTTTGTTTTTTCTGATGAGGTGAGGGTGCGGGCATACACGGAGAGGATGTTAACAGGGCCCCAAGCAGCGCTGAGACGGATGGAGAGCAGGCGCTAGGTGCCTCCAGAAGGGGGCTCTACCGAAGCTAGAAGGGTGTTCTTGATGGCAAAGCCAACTCCATACTGGCGGGGTTCCTTGGGTTGCCTACCCTTCCAGAAAATATAGTTCTCCTTTTTAAGGGAGATACTAGAGGGGAGCTTGGTTTCTTGAATGCCAGCCATGCTGATGTTGAGTCTGGAAAGCTCTCTATCGATGATAGCTGTTTTCCTGGTGCCATCCACCTCTTGACAGTCGCCAGTAACACTCGTGCACATGGTGCGCACGTTCCAAATTGCAAGTCGAATAACGGAAGACTTTTTTTGTCTATTTGTCATGTCTGAGGTGTACTTTAAGCCTTGGGAACCCACTAAAGCAGGCAAACGTTGGCGGGTCGTCACCGTCTTGACCAGGGGCTGCCCGGCTTAAGGCGGGTGGTTGTCGGCCAGTGGAACACGATGGTCCCTCCCACCGTCGAACCTGACCCGTGGCGCCCCATTCCATACGCCAACTGGGAGGGACTTATGACCCGTAAACTGTCAGCTTCCATGTTGTTTCCTTACTCGAAATCAAGGCTGGAGTGGCTTCTCCAGGGTGCAAGCCTGGGCAAAAATACAGACATCCTGGGTTGCCAAAACGTCCGGGTCCCCTTCCGGCCTTGCTGTTGGGACCCAAAGGAATGCTGAACATGACGTTTGGCACCAGCTTGGCTGCAGGAGCTGCCGAAACAATGTGTCCAAGACAACGGTCCGCCTTAGGGGCCCGAAGGTTTACTCCTTTACACCTAGACGTTGAGTCCGACAGAAACCTCTTTCGCCCTAGCCGTTGGCTGTTTAGAAGCAGCTCATCCGCCCAGTGGTGCGGTGTAGGCACCACCCCGTCACGTAATTTAGCCCGCTAGCTGAAATGGTGTACCAAGCGAGACGCGAGAGATTTAGGAGATGGGTGAAAGCCAGTGATGCAAAGTAAGATGCAGCTGACAGACAACAAAGGTGCTATCTCTTTCCACTAAATGGTTCATAATTATGCAAGCATGCGCAAAAATGACCGTGGCGGCAAGAAGAGTGAGCGAGCCAATGAAAATGTAAAGGGGTGTAATTTTTATCATTTTCGGTCAGGTTTTCAGGCTTTGTTCAGATTTTTCTTCTGAAAATCCCGTTATTATGAATTTATTAGTGAAAGGTCTATGGCCGCAGTTTGAAATCATGCATCTATGGTTGTGGCGGTAGCCACTCCCCTAGGGTCGTACTTGATTAAAGGCACAGTCTTTTATTCCAAAAAAAAACTAACTGTGGGGTATCGATCTGTTAATATTGTCTGTCTCATATTCGGTGGGGGTACAGATTTTCATTTGAGTGAAACACTTTCCATGCCTGACTCTAGCTGAAAACGAGACCAACTGGCAGTAAACGCTGCAAATCAAAAGTTGGCAAGCAGTGGCGTGAATCTGTTTTTGGACGGGGGATAGCCATTCATTATGTTCATTGAATGTAATCATCAGTTTCATTGTGATTTAGGAAGCACATGGCCCGTCTGTGGTTTTTTCAATGAAATACTGTGAAATAGACAAGCCCTTCGATCCTAGTGCCACGCGAGAGTGGTGGGTACCAGTGGAAACAGTTCGTCAGCGGAGCTAAAGACATTATACATGTACATGTACTTCGTTTGTGTACAAGCCCGTGTTCTTGACAGCGGAAGGGGTGTTGCAGCCTGCACACGCGTAGGCGTGTTTGACTTCCATGCTATTGCACGAAGTCTGGTCCAGAGAATAAATGCGCCTACGGCAGACCGATCCTGATTACGTCAGCTCGAAAATCAGTATTGCATGTTTTCTCAGCCATGGGGTGGAGCGGCAAATGTTTAATTATGGGCACCGTGTTGGCTCTCGGGAGTGCTTGGTTGATTCGCGTGTTGTTGGTGGACTCGATCGTCTTTGGTCTCATTTTCAGCTGCATGCTGGGTGAATATTCTTGGAGACCCCTATAGCACGACGATTTAACTTTGAAGCATTGTGATCAATGGCAGATCCAAAACCGTTTTTATGAGGGGGTGGAGGGCACACGTTTTAAAAACAATTCTCACATGAAATGTTTTATTACCTTTATGAGAGTTGAGGCTACAATTTCAGGGGTTATACAGCTTTTGGAATGAAAATGGCATTATTGCCCAGAGTTTTGCTCCTTTGGGGGTGGGCCTGTGGTCCCCGTTGCCCTGCCCCTCGATATGACCTTGTTGGCAATAAGATCTGAACTGTCTTTCTCTCTGAGAAGAACAAGCACTTTGGTGATAAGGAAGATAGTAAAGACTTCTTCCTCAAAGAGGTTGTGGTCATGGTGTACACAAAAGTCTATGCAAACAAGAATGACCAGTCCACAGTTTCTCTTCAAATTTGACATAAAGGTACGAGACTCTCGTCAGAAACTATAACTTTTCCTGAAGCAAGGATTACACATATAGTTTTACATTAAAAACCACAAACCCAACTGAACAACCTGAACCAATATTTGTACATGCAAAATAAATTTACATGACTTGTAATCTCTCCGATTTGATCGAAGCACATGCATCTGTATGTATTCTCAAAACTCATGGGCACTGCATGCCCCTTACGCGGTCCGTCAATAAAGCTACAACACCAAATATCCCAGATTTACAAAGCAAAGAGTTTGGAATAATGTCCGAACAAACTCGCGTGTACTAAAGAGTGGTCCGGTATTCTGAACTGTTAGAAACACGAATACGTGACAATTTGGTTCCCTATGGCAACTTAACATTTTATTCAAGATAACCGTCGCAAATGACTTTACACAACAGCCATGCACCAGTTTTGGCAGTAGAACTAACAGTAGTTCTTTAACCCTTCTCTACTGGAGACTTTCTTTATCATGGAAAACAAACATGAACACCGACCCATTAAGCAGGCTCAAAGGTAAATTGGTTTATCTGCGCAGTTTACCTGCCTTTACCATTTTATGCTAAGGTAGTTGATCCGACAAAATACATGAAAATGTGTGTTTGACAAATCAGAATTAACTATCGCATTTGCTGATGTTAATTAGACGGATACGCCATATCATACCTTCCTCGCAACTTACATTACTGTATGTATGTCATTAACGCTTTAAGGCATTACTTCATGAAGATATGACCATAAGCAAATTCTCCATGTTTGGAATTTTGACACACTTTCTACGTACCTAATGTTCTTCTTCGATGCTCGAAAACAATTTGGAATTCTTGTGGGGTTAAACATATTGAATGATGCACTTTAAAGAAAGTTCGAGTGTCCATACTTTCCCAATAACTGAGTTCGAGGTTGCTGTGATGTCACGCAGGGCAAAGACACTATTCAGTCTATATTTTCTCTGCTCAAATTGTGAACTGAAAATTCACTCATTCAAAAAAAATCTCAGAAACGTTTGAAAATGTTGCGGAGTAGGCGACGCCTGATGTTTTGCAAAAGTCCCGTACGTATAGGTATTTTTGATTTTCGACTTTTTAAAAAAAAATATATTTGTTGTCTTTCCGTTTCCATCCATACGGTTTCCTTCTTGTATGATACTTTCTCATTAGAATGTTGATGATATTTCTCACCATTCACAAGTAGAGAAATGTAAGGGCTTCTCTTCCAACTTCTGACTCTGTTACTTTGGAGGTACGTGACAAAGACGGGCAAAGATTTGGCAGAAAAATATGGATATTCATAGTGTACAAGTTAGCAAAAGGGACTTTGAGTGTTTAAATTCTAATCAGTATGGAAATGAGGGGCAAACAACCTATCTGAACTTCATGTTGATCGATTACTTTGGGGGTCTACCAGCCTGAGTCAAAAGCCATTTTACTGGCTTCTGCGGCTATAATGCGATTCAGTGCGCATGCACACCAACTAAATGAGGGGCATGGCCATACGTGGTCTATTACCGAAACGCGCGTGCGCGCTCAGGTTGGGACAGCTGCACAAATGTAAACGGCCCCTCGGACTGGCGTCTCGTCGGATTTGTCTAGAGCCAAAACAGTTACATATGGGTTACTTGTTGGCTTACTGCCATGTATTAACACAATAATGCGCCATCGAAGAACATGAAATGTTGACAACAAGTGATTAGTCTGCGAGCACAGAAAAACGAGGTTTTCTCGGAATGATATGAAAGCTTTTCTCTGAGTGTGGAGATTCGCACTACACAATGAATGAAAATTTTGGACAGCTGAAACAATGCCTTTTCAAAGGGCTTTAGATACTAATTGCAATGCAATTGAAAAAGTACCTACATTCTACCTTAGACTACTGTTTGTAACTTTTGCATCCCATTCATTCGACCTTCACTTTTGTCATCCACCAGGACTGCTAGCGAGTCTCTTTCTGTTGGCTGCCACGTGCGCTTTTCACATGAGCATCATTCCATGTTCGCAGAGTCACACCCTCTCCACGCTCCTCAAATGCTACCTACGACAGCAAGTCTACACCTTGCGCGAGGCCTTCATCTAACGGAAGTTGGGGCGAATATGGAGAAACCCGCGCCCTGCTCAGGAGAAGCTGCTGCGTCAGTTCATCGCCCGAGACGTCGAGACCGAGTACGGTAGAACACATCACCTGGGCGACATCAAGAATCTGGCTGATCTGCAGACGAAACATCCCTTGACTTCCTATTACCATTACAAGGAGTACGTACAAAGGTTAGCGGACGGTGAACAAGGCGTCTTCTTGGGGAAGAAGACTGTCAGATTTGGTGTCACCAGTGGTACTACAGGAGCCGGTAAACTGATTCCCATCATTGCTTCGCGACCTCTCTGTATTTCGCATATTTTGTATGAATTGAGCTTTGCAGCCAATGAAAGCTTCGGCAAGCCGAGTCCGCTACAGCGCATGTGCCTGTTGTACTGCAAACCCACATTGAATTGTACCAAATCGGGTCACTATGTCGCACCTCTGCTCTACTTGCCCGACGACCCGGGTATAATACACATGAGTAACACATCATCAGCGGGATTCCAGCTGTCCACCGACTTCGAGGCAAACTACGTCCACCTTCTCTTTGCCCTTCTCGACAAGCACCTCGGTCTCTCCCTCTCCCCCTTCACCACGCTGATTTTCCGGGCAATGAAAGTGATCGAAGACAACTGGCAGACCATGCTTGATGACACCACAAAAGGCAGGATCAACCCAGATCTCGCGATTTCAGACAGAATTCGGTGCGACTTGAACGCTGCCCTTACTCCGAATCCGGTCATAGGTGGTGAACTCCGCGCAGAATTTTCCAAGGGTTTCGTTGGAATTGTGTCCAGTATTGGCCACACATCAAGTTCATATTTTCCGTAGACTTGGCCGGTTTCCGGGAGAAGTTGGAAAAGACTTACGCAAAAGGTAATGACTTGTAATCTAAACTTATGAAAACCACTAGTTTTCGTGGTCTTTAATCCAATTAGTCTTTGAGAACATATGACAAAAAAATGGACTAAATTTGAATTTGTAACTCCCGTTACATCCTGTTGATGCATGGTGAAACAATATTGAGCTCAATTTTAAGGATCCCAAGAATTCATTAAGCTTTGTTCACGGGTAGGCCTAATACTACCAGTCGTGTATCATGATGTAGAACTTTGGCAATCACGTCCCAGTACAAGCAATTCTTTTAGGCGCCGTTTTAAAATGTAAACTTGCACAATAATAAATAAACTGCAAGTTGAATTGTCATTTCCGCATATTTACAATTAAATATTTTTTTCGCGCAGGGACACCAATTTACTTGGGTACATATATGTGTACAGAGACGTTTGTAGCAGCAAGTCTGTGGCCCGCGATCCGCAGCCAAAATATTGCTTACTGCTCCACGAAAACATCTTTGAGTTTATTCAAGAGGGTAACTGGTGAGTAGTTGTCCTAGCTGAGTGGGAGGCCTCAAATTGTCCAAATTCTGTTGGTATGAACTAGTTGGACTCAACTGTCACTATTAAACAAGTGTTTTACAGAAAGTACAACTATTTAAGAGGTGGCAGAAATCACGACACTGTCGTTATTTTGTGATACTGCGTGCCAGCCAAAGGCTTCCTGGAACAACGGCGGCAACAAACTTTAAACGTGCATGGCCACATTTTCCTTAAATAAGAAAATATATATACTTAAATCAACACTTTCAAATTGAAAGATGGAGTTCAATAAGGGCATAACTTTTGTGCTTGGCCGGTCTTAAACGTGCCTTCAAGGCGGCAAGGACACGAGTCGCGTCCATTCTCCTGAGCCAGTCTTAAACGACAGAGTAATACCGGTCAAGCACATAATTATTCCCAATATATCTTTAGTCAGAGAGTCAAAAGAGAAACAATAATTGATGGATTTGCAGCGATTTTGTTCTAGAATTTTACTTTCATTTTCCCGAACACCCCTGATCCTATTAAGGAATATTCCTTGTGCAAATTGTCCAACTGGCGCGAGCGCGGCGAGCCACGTGCGTACAGACTCTTGAGCAATCAAAATTAAATGTCTTGTTATCCCGGTGCCAGCGCGTGATTTACGTAGCGGGCATTATCACCTCTCAGCGGGCATTATTTGCAGGTTATTGAATAGGGAGACTGTCTGGGGTATTTATGAATGTCCTTTTTACAATTAATCTTTACCAAACAGAAGACATAAAGGAATGATTACCTCCAGCGTTCCGAATTGGAACGTTCTTCTACCCAGACATCCCCAAAAGCCAGATTATCCGACTCCTTATCCCCTTTTATAGTCCCACGGCACGACATAATTGCTCCCAAAGCTGTGATATCGTTTTTCTTGCCAACTGTAAGGTACTACCGACAGGCTTCTAAGAGTGGCATTCAGAACAGCCTCGTTTATTGAGGAAGGTTAGTAGTCACCTGGGGTGTCGATATTCAGTATGGTTGCAGCTTGCATGCTGCGCGGGGCAGATGTATTTCCAGGTTCCCTCTCAAGCCATTTCGTAGTCATTTTCCAGAATATCCATTTCTGATCTGAATTTACTGTTATATTTTGCATTGCAAACTCAATCACTACATAATTCTAACCCGTATGAAACGGTTGGCATCGATGTTTTCATTCTGGGTGTTTTCAGACTATGTTCCTTATAATTTCAGCTTCGAGGAAAATCCCAAAGCTTTTCTGATCGAAGAAGTGGCAGTGGGACAGACCTACGAACTCGTGTTCACGACTCGCGGAGGCTTGTACCGTTACCGAAATGGCGGCGTGGTCGAGGTTGTGGACATGCATGAGAAATGCCCAGTTATTCGGTTTAAGTACAGGTGAGATAGTACATGCGTTCATGGAAGTCACTACAAAAAGAGGCTTCAGGCATTAGCAAAAGACGCGTGTGCTATTATTTCCATTCACAGCCAATCAGTTCTGCTACGCCATAGCCTGAAAGCATTCATAAGGATATCGTGGTTTGTCTTTTTATTTTAACACCTTGAAGCCATTTCTTAAGGGTCTTTTTAGTTTAGAGCTGGACCAAGTGAGGCAAAAGTCTTCCTACCAACGAAAGTTCCTTTGGGGAGAACTCCACTTCGCTGGTTCACAAACGACTATGAAATGTACGCGTTGGGCCTATGGCCTCACACGACCAACTTGGCTCTTTTGAACCGGTGACGGGGTGCTTCTGCTTAGGGGAGATAATGAGACGTTCAGATGACAGAGCCTTATAGAGGCAGAGCAAAAGTGGCACAGGCAACGTAAAAAGGGGCTGGTACTAGTTTTGGTGGACACCAATACCTGCAACTATTACCCCCCCCCATCATAAGCCTTACTCACAGGTGAGTGGTTACAGAACGCGAAGGAGGATACTGTAAACGAACCACATTTTAAGCCCAGGAACAATCCATTTGGTGAAAATGTACCACCACACAGGGAAGACAGGAAACCGTGTAAAAGGTTAATTGCAATGATAAATCAACAAGGTACATGCATATAACAACACAGTATACCTCACAAGGCAAATCAGTATGCCTATCGCGGTAAACCTATAACACCAGACAAACTCAGTCTGGCGTAAGCTAATTTATTACAAAGGGATACCCGACTACTAGAAAACATCATAGCCCTCACGTAACCTACGCAGAGTGTTGTGTATGCCCGGGTCGATCAGACAATGGCATAACCCTAAGAGAAAGCACAGCGCAACAAGTAAACCTATAGGCAAATCTGCTCAGTGACTACCGATCTCAACCCAGTTAATTGTCACCCCCAACCTGTGGTGTTCAGAGACGGCTGAAAATCCACCATCCGTCACTGTTTAATTACATGGCTCTCAGTCAAAGCTTCACAACCTACGACAGCTTCAATACTAACCCGGACCCCATTAATCGGTTCACTACGTACTACTCCATCTACCGGTCGTTAAATTGTGTACCCATATTACGTAGTTTGTCGGGGGCGTTGACCCCGCTTTTTTGTCATAGGGCATACTTATTAATGTTTTGGTGCCTTGGCTTCTACCTGAAGTGTGCAGCGCCACGGTTTTTGTCCACAACAAAGTGCGTATTTTTATCGGGTCACGTGGGACAGCGAGAAAAGCCCTCTGGGTAACAATTTCGTCCATTTTTTTACCTAAAGGGGAGGTTTGCCCACAAGGAATGGTACAAGCCAGGGTATCTAATGCCCTCAATTAGGTGGAAAGGCACGGCAAGTCTGGCACTTGTCCATTATATGTTTGTTTGCAGGAAAGCAGAGTTGATCAATCTTCGCGGCGAGAAGGTGACGGCTAAGGTGATGCAGTCGGTGGTAGAGGAATTCGCTTCCCAAGAAAAATGCTCATGACACATCTGATGGGACATGGAACTTGCTTGCATAAGCAATCTTCCAAACCTTAAACAGGTTAAAGCCAAATGCCTCAAAGTGAGATGAATATCCCTTTGTCAAAAACAGCTTCATCGAAGCCAGGAGCTCAAAGAGATATGAAAGTGCTGCTGAAGAAAGAAATAGAGCATCTTGTAAGTAAGGGGGTGCTTGGGAAAGGAAAACAAAATGTAGTTGTAAAGATCACTGGGGATGACACAGTACTAGGTCACTGACATTATCTGAATATCACTTACACAATATTAAACGATGAAATTAATGCAACTTCTGCAAGTGCGCATCACCCCATAGCTATCCTTTGTGATGAGGAAAAATGCAGTCAGCTTAAAGAACACTTAGTGGACATAGTGCAAGACGTCGCATGTTTCACAAGTGTAGTAATTGAAGAGGTGGAGTACTTCATTCAGTACTATTTGTCAGGGGATTACAAGTTTCTTTTGACCATTTGCGGCATGGGAGCAGCTAACTCAAGGCACCCTTGTATTTATTGCTGGTTGATAGTTCACATTTACACGTTGCTACTCCAAGATCTCAACCGCGGACAATTGGCAAGAAATGTCACTCTTGCAAAAGGGATCCCATTTTCCATATGCAGCAAGGTATGAGACGGAGAGAACCCCCCCTGCTTTTTGTTGGTCATTGTCTCGCAGGAATCTGGGGGTATTCCTTTCAGACACCTTGGGGGATGTGCTAAGTAACAATAGTCTGGAATGTGTATAGGGATTGGACATGTTGGGGGGGGGGTACCCCTCGGTTTCATTTCTTGCTAGGTATATCATTTTCAGGTCCATACCAAGTGAGCATGTAGCCTATGATACTTCACATGTACCTCAGAATCACTAACAGGCTGCTGAAGAAACTTATGCAAATGATCAATGAGCTTGACATGCAAGAAATGGGAACAGTTTGCAGTGTCTAAGATCCTGATAAAATGAAAAGATGTGCCAAAATGGAAGGTACACTGGAAAGAGCAGGTGTACGTGGCTCCCCTTTTAATTTTGATAAGGATGCAAAATGGTCACTTGTCGGGATCTAAGAGGGCCCAAACAACAGAAAGTGAGAAATACTTGGATGACACCAAGAAGCTTGTTGAATGTCATGCTCATGGATCTGCAGTAGTGAATGAACGGCGCAAGTTCAGGGTACTTTATGACAATGTACGATCATTCAAGAAGGCGAATACCATGTCACCTGACAAGATCTGCTCATTTAGCAAAGTTGAGAAGTAACTTGGTGGAGTGGTATGAGAATCTAGCTTCTGTTTGCACTGCAAAGATAGCAACCCCATATATGCATCTGTTTGTAGTTCATACAGCTGACCTCATAGAGAGACGGGGCTCCATTCACCTTTCCAATGCGCAAGGTTCAGAAAAATTAAATGACTTGACAACAACTGAGTAATACAAAGGTACGAGCCACCGCATAAGATTGTGCGCAGAAGCAACAGACGTCTGTATCGAGCACATAAGGGCATTGAACCTCCACAGAAGCCTAAAAAGTGTGGAAAGCATATAGTATGCTGGCCATAATTGTACTACCTGCCCAAACTCATACCAAAGTCAAAATGAACTGTAAATGGACACTGCATTTATCTCTACATGAACTAGCAGAAAAAATGTGATTACAATGAGACCTAAGAACCAATTCTGATTAATTTATAGTTACGATAATAATTATATGGTAAGAAGTATAACAACCTATCCAATGTTGTGAGAATGTTCTATTTAAATTGCACGGAGATTTGTGGCTCCTGCACTACATTCTTACAAACATGGCTCAAGGGTGTAATGTTCACATTATCACAGTGTTTTGAACTTGACTTTATCCTTTAAATTTTGTGCAATGTTGGATTTGATGTTCCTAGTATGGAAGTTTGAATTGAATAAACCTGTACACGCAACAGTGTATCTGGGCAAAGATTGCCATAAAACCAGTTTAAACCAGTCTTGTGTATATCCATTTGCAGTTGTGGTGACTGGGGGAATTACCGCTCAAAAAGTTTTTTTATTGTGGGGCTCAGAAGCCAATGTTTTGACTGAAGGATGGGGGGCATCAGCTAAGGCTAACGGGAGAATGGGCTGACAGAGAGCTTTCCTTACAGCCGCGGTTTTACTTGAAAGTACAAATTTCTTTTCTAGTAATGTTTTTTAATTTTTATTTAAGAAAATGCATTCTGTTAATCAGCTGGACTGAGTATAAATAGAAACATTTATTTCAAATTACAAAGCATGCAGGTTGAGATATTTACACCTGAGGTCTGCATTTTTTAAAAATCAAACTTCTATGAATGACCAAGTGAAATGTTTGTGTAAATTGTCTGTAAAGACAAAAATAAACATTTCATTCTAACTTGAAGTCTTCGCGCACTTAATGCACAACATGCACATGCCACCTTGTGAGTCCAGCATGCTTCCTTTACGCATTAACACATCAAACCCATGGCAGTATAAACCAGACGCTTCAATGTTAATTGCAGCAACATGCGCCGATTGGTATTCATATCGTGACACCATAAACCAGTTCTGCCCATTATTTACAAACACTGATTATGACTACACTCACAGTACATGTACTGTTCAATTTTTTCATGTGCGTACATGTATAGGCCTACTGTACATGTACATCCATGTCCACGTTCGTCCAAGCATTGTGCATGTGTACTTATACGTGCAGGCTTACATGTACATGTTTCTGTACACATTACACGTGATATGTACATTTACCAGTATTATTATTATTATTATTATCATTATTAAATTCAATTTAAATAGCGTTCATTTCATTAAAAAAAATGTTCAGAAGTGCTTAACAATAGTAAAAAAAAAACCTATTAGAACAACTATTTACAAAGGCCAAAATAATTAAATTAAACACAAATTAACATTGATTTAAAACTTTAAACCAAACATGGTGGGACTTCCACACACGGCCAGCACCAATTCTCCCTCCAACGACCCATCGTGGGTCCAAGACTCATCCAGTACATGTACTAGCTGCGGGCCACGCATGCATGTGCTGTACAGTGCATACATGTACGCAGGACCCGTCGTCATAAAAAAAGTTGAAAAGTTATGATGGACTAGAATATTTAAACTATTGAATCCAATTTCAATGAAAAATATGGACTATAAAACCCTAAGGCTGAAATAGCTTTATCAAATCCACCCTTAAAGAGGCGAATAATATAACAAAATCCGGGACAAGCCCCTCGGTGATATGGGAACCCCCAAACCATAAAATGGTATGGTTCAGCCACAGCCTCTGCTGTGAACAGATTTAGCTAGCAGCCAATCAGCGCGCAGTACCGTAAGTATCACGAGGCGCACAGTTGTACATTTGCATGTACAACCGGTCCCCTCCTGACTAGAGCCATGTTGATGAATATTGTTAGGTACGTTTACAGGAATATGCGAAATTTATTCAGATTGATTTGAATATTCATTAGGGTCAACACTACTGCGATGTGCAGTTACTTATGAATGATACATGATGACAGGCAAACAGACCGCCTCCTCGCGTACGAAGTATACATGTAGTAGAGCAAGGTCGCCGCGCGTGGCTAGCTGAACACGTTTCGTCAGTGTGGTGCCGGTTGATTTTTGAACTGGACGAGTACCTGTGTAAATTTTTTCCAAAAGTAGGAATTTTTGGTTTCTACAGTGAGAAAACATGCTGAATTTACCTGGGACACAGTTACTATGTTCAGCACCCGTCTGTTTAGGGAGTTGTGTTTTCATTCACTGCCGGGTATATGCATTAAGTATATACATACATTGTGTACAGTGGCGTGTGCAGCGCTGTGTTTTAAGCGCTATGAAGGATGTCCGTTTGCTTTTTGTAATCGTCAAACATTGCTGGCAACCCTATGATCGCAATTCATATATATTTACTGTAACTTTTTATTTCGTGTTTCAAATAAGTTACGTAATGGTTTCGTAGCAGTGTGTGTGGCGCGCGCCTCTTGACGAAAGGCTAACTAGCTTGGCACGGGAAACAAAATTATAGTGGCCGTCCACAGCCCCTTGTGAGGTTGGAGTGAACCCTGAAAATTGGCTGGCGGAAATTACATAACGGTTAAACTTAGCTCCTTTTACATTGTCAATGTACTGTACATGTACATGAATGCATATGGAAAGGGCATCACGTCTTTGGGGCGGGGGTATACCGTTTCTGTTTATTTTTCTGAAGATGTCTTAAGGAAAGCTTTTATTTCCTTAAACATTTTCACACATTTCCAATAGCTTTACTTTTAAGACTAAGAGATGCCACATGGTCTGCCTGAAAAAAAAAACCTGTTCGATGCAGAAAAGCGCGTGACCGGTACTGAGTAAACGGAGCTCAAACCGACAAGAATAGCACCCGCAATTTTGAATTTCAGATTTTCCTAAACATTTACATGTTTCTATTTTCAAAAGTCAATAGAGTAGGAATAAATGTCGTAGTTTCCTTGAGAATAGATGCAAATGCCTAAACGCAAAGTAAATCTATTTTGATTCCCAACCTGCAAAACCGTAGATTATTCAACTAGGCCCTAAGGCACAATTGCAATTTGCAGCGTCCATCTTGACGTAAATGTCGGATCACAGTGCACACGTGTACGTATGCCTATAACTCATGTTACGGAAGAAAAATAAGTAGGGCCTGCGTGCCATCACTACAACTGCACAAAATCTGAAAACAGCTGCAAAAAATGATAAACTATCCAGCATTTTTCTACCACTCAGTGTTTCTTGCAAACTAAAATAATATTGCCTACCTTCGCTGCTGGCAGAAGTATTCCCATACTTGTATACACGGTCGCAAGGGTCCGTCACTGCAGCCACCCTTAGAGGCAGAATTCGAAGGTAGTGTGACAGAAAGCCATCTTTTTTATCCTTTCCCTGAAGCCACGTCCATTTATTTCTCACCTTCGATTACATGGTCCTGTAGGCTGTCAGTTCCTTCTTTAACTGTAAATTCTTCCCATTATTTCGACTGCATTTCTTATGTTACATCCCGGAATTTTCACCGAAAGCATATATGAGCTAGTAACACGTGCGACGCTCTTAGTTAGGTACCGGCAAATTAAGTACGTTTTTCTCATTCATTCATACAATCAGTGCAACCAGTAACCAGACTGGTATGGGTAGCCTTGAATTCAGGCTGTTTGATAGACACAAGTTTAAGGCCACGGCTTTTTCAAGCTGGAAAATCGGAAATCTTGGCATTTGATTTTTAAAAAGTCAGGAAAGGGATAAAACCAGAAAGGTTACGTCTCTGCTCAGGAGGTACTGAAGGCAAATGAACTATGGCTTGTGAATAGGAAAAGTGGATCCAGGGAGGGGCCGATGGAGGCCATGGTTCTCAAAGGGAACTTCGATTGTTTTAGTTAAAAAAAGATTTCTCATTTCTTTCCTTCCGCAGCTATGTTAAATTAAATGCCCACCACATTGGGGTGTGACTGTGCCTCCCCCCGCCAATTTGGTCCTCCGAAAAACGGATTGTGGATCGGCTTCAGTACAGGAACAGAATACGCACCAAAACGTCTCTTAGATGGCAAAACAAAATCTTGAAAATGGGGCACAAAGTGTGAATGTCCAGTCGCCAACACTGAAATTGCGCCCGTAAATAATCACAAGCGTCATAGAACGAAAAGGCTCGTATATTGTATCCGCACTTGATTTTTTTTCGGGAGGCAAACCAGATATTCAAGGAGTAATTACTCTTTATTCAATCCATAGGGTAAAAATTCGATCGGTTTACACACTGCATCCGAAAGTATGAGGCTTACGTAAAATAAAATACAAACAAGTTTAAAGAGGTACAAAGCACGGGTACACTATGCACATGCCTCAATTTTATGAACAAAAAATTCTTACACAAAGGCATCTCAGAAAGACATCCAGACAGATGTCCATACATAGTACAAATTTAGTATTCATAACAGAATTTAGGCCCACATAGGATTTATTTAAAATTATTTTGATGGCTATTTAAAATAAAGAACGCATTTACGTTGAATGAGTTTGACAGGGAAAAACGAAAATATTCATCCAGTTGCCTGTCATGCCACATGATCATGCTCAAGTGATGGCGACTCAATTGTGTCTTGAAAACCTCAAAGGTTACTGACCTATCAAAAGACCGATTTCAATCTCAAAGAATCGCACGCATTGGAAACATTACCTAATGCAAGCATCATCATTTTTGCACTCAGCCATTGGGACGGAAAGCAATGCTGCATATTCAAGGTATGTAATTGAATTGAAGGCATAATGCTTGTACAATGCTGAATAAAAGGGAAGAAAGCAACAAGTAAATTTAAAATTTTACACTTTCCTCTGTTACCGCAGTATATACATGTACACTACCCAAACTTAATTTACATAAATAATATTACTTTCATGAGCCTCTCCATATTTTCTCCCACATTTAACATTCTGTATGTGCAATGAATCTTTATTTGGCAGGCACCTTTTAACATGCATGAAAACAAAATATATTCCACCGTTGAGAACAAAAGATTATAACCAACAGATTAAACTCTTTTAAATCACACACAAGATGTACATATAATATCTCTAGATAGCACAGCTGTTTATTGGGTTTCCAAAATAAATCATATTAATATGGACAGAATTTGGCAGTTTTCCTATTTGAAATTTCAGGAGGGTACCTGGTGCATGCACATACAGTTTAATATGACTACAAAATCTTACAGGCTTTTTGATAAATATATTGCTTGAATAATGGACGGACCATGCTTAAAATTGGTGAATAAATCACTTGTTTATTATCTTACAGACATTTTTCCTTTGTTTCTTTTCAATGTAATATACCATGGACCAACAATGCTTCATATCATCAAGTTTATAACTTGACTGCCCAACTGAAAATTCAACATTAACAGTCCCAACTGAGATTTAAACAATCAACCGCTCACACAGAAAGACTGTTGGTTTCTATTCACTGGTCTGCACACAGCAGGTCATGTTCATTTTCAATTGTTTTATCTATACTCATGTTTTTCCCTGAAAGCATTCCCTGTGGCTAAAAGAAATAATGGCTAGTCTGATCATTGCCTTTGTGCTAAGAAAAATCACAGAGGCTACTCAGGGTGGGGTTTTTCCATTCCATAACCTAAGGAAAATCTTGAAGAGGATTTTCAGTCACATGTTTTTGACGGTCAATGTTCAATTTACACAGATGTGTGCAGAAACGCGCTCGCCTTCGAAGTCTCACAACATAAAATTGAAATTGCCAACAGAAATACCCAGGTTCAAAAACGCACGTGCCTCCAGGGACAGAGTACACTTCCTGAAATGCCTTGTGGCTTGTAATGTTGCATCATGTGAAAACCTTTGACAAAGTGCAAGTAACTGGGTGCACAGAAAATACATGTAGTTATAAAACGAATGAAGAAATTGGCTGGAGCAGGTTTTGAACCACTGATAAAACAATGCGACATACATGTACAAGCAGCACTGTTTATACCAATTCTCCTCCAACTGAGAAATGTTAACAAATGTTGCATCCAAACATAAAGAACGGTCAACAAATTTGGAGGAAAAAAGCACAATAAATATAGAATGTTTCAAATTTTGTCTCAAGGCTCTTTCTCAAAACTTTCACCCACATATTCTCATTTGGAGCTGTAAGGCCCTATTCATATACAAATCTGTGAATGGCCTGAGCGAAGTCTGTACACATTTCAACAAAAAATCCTTGAAAGTATGAGAACAATGGGGCTTTGTGTACACTACACTAGACAGCGAAATTCGACTCAGATCTTCAAGGCAGCTTCTTTTTCGCAATAATACTGCCCATACAGCTTCAACATCACAATCATCTTTGATTGACAGCTGCAACATGCTCCTGTTGAAGATTCATGTAGGGCTGTGACAACTATCCGAACATTCCATCGATTATCAAATATTCGAATATTTTTTTCCAAATTTAAATATTCAAATTAAAAAATCATGAAATGAAAAGGAGAATTCTCTTTGCATTCCGGTGATTAAATGATTAAACCCCACAAAAAACAGGGAATTCTGAATTGTGCGGATTCAACTTGTAACCACTCCTAGATTCTAGACACGTTTGAGGAGCCGTGTCGCTTGTGTTCCTCCCTGCTCTTGCTCGGTAGTTTGTTGGGGGTACGGCCACGCTCTGTGGTTCCTCGTTTGTCGGCGTCTTGGTGGCCATGTGTGTCCCCGATCCCATTCCTGTGTGATTTTGAGTGGCCGTGTTTCTGAGAATATAAGAGGATGCGACTGATAAGAATTGTTTTAATATCGTAAAGGGTGCACAAACTCCTTCCTCAAACATGCTGATGAGTGTTTGAGCAGAGATTTCTTGGCTCCTAACAGGTCTTCACTTTATGCACAGGACAGGAGCCACACAGTTTGAAGTGTGACATCATTGAGCTACCAAGTACATGTACTGTTGCCGCTGAGGATCATCACTTCAAGTAATTTCAGTGAAATCTTTTCCGAGATATGTCTTTCTGCAAGCTGAACAATGTTTGCAAGACAGTTTACACTGGTGTGTGTTCTTGGGTAGAAGAATTGGACATGACTAGTTCCTCTCTGCAAAGAGGCACAAGAGTAACGGGAGGGGGGCAGACTGCATTTGGATTTAACATCTGAACCACACCTGATGCATTGTGCTGTATATTTGCTATCTAGCTGAGGAAGGCTGAGCCCAAGTTTTTGCCATTTCCTTTAGTCTTTCCCACAAACAATGCCCACTGAAATGCCCATTTTAGATGCAGTCATGACCTTTGAAACGGGTCATTCTATAAACCTGGGGTCTGACGTGTGACATTTTCCCGTCCCTGTTACACCTGACATGTATACTTTGACAAGGGATATATAACTGATATTGATTTCAAACTCTTTTTATTTGTTTAGCAGGTAATTTGCAGTATTTATTCAGCCTCGGAAAGTTAAGAATGAGTTCTAAACATTAAAAAATCATATGCCAGACGTAACAGTGACAGGAAAAAATTGGACCCCATATTTACAGAATGACCCAAATGTTTTCGTGGATCAATTAAAAAAAATCGCAAGGGGTCCAAAACTTTAAGTAAGATTTGATGCTTATGGAATAATCAACAGGACTTTGTTTCTGCTGACTGCAATTTAAAGTGTCATTTTTACAAGCATAAAAACACAAACATTGCCACAGAAACAGGAGTGTGCACTCAATGTTCACTCTGGATCCATGGACAAGGCAATGGTGACATTGTAACTTACTTTTTTACTAAGATGTGATCTAGACATTGAAATCTCTTCAATGAAGTTGGACGGGACCAAACCCCTCTTGCGTCTCACCTGTAAAAAAAACAAGAAACAAAACAACGATGCTCGCTTCCAAATGGTTTAAATGGACGATTCTTTGAAGTTTTCAGAGCCAGATTTATCTTGATATAAGAACTAACGCTTACACTTTTTTGGCAGCTTCAAAGAAAATATTCATTGTGTGTTTCCCGTAGATATATTTTTTTCATGTTGAGTTCTTTGCCCTGTTGTTTTTTAAGGCATGTGCTATGACCTTGAAATGGGCCAAAATAAATACTCTGTATTATTTTATTTTGACAGATATGGATTAACACCAGCAAGAGTATTCCTAGGAACTTCATTAATCTCTGCATTCATTTCTGATTTGGCATCATTGCCCTTTAAACAATGCCCCCTTACATGTGGCATTTCAACTATTTCAAATGGAAAAAGTGTACAGCAGGCTCATTAGCAGATGCCCACTCTTACAGCATGTGGCCCTTTGATACAGTCACTATGAACAAAAATAGGCTTCCCAGACTATTTTTTTAATTTTTAGACAGCCAGCATTTTCAAAGATTTCATTTGTGTAGTTCAAAACTGTTCATCCAGAATGTCCAAACATTTTAAAATACCTGCAATGTCTGGTTACCCACATCCATTTTGGGCCGGATTTTTTTTCCCTTCTCATTTCTGAAAATTCAAGCATTTCCAACTTCCCCAACCAAATGTCTGAAATCGGTTTCTTCCTAATTAACCACTTTGACTATGGCAACCCCACAATTTTCAGCTTAAAGCAACTGCCACTCTCAATGTCCCATGATGACTGGACTACCATGCTTTCCTTCTGAAATTGAGGCACGTTTGTTGCTTGAAACTGATCTAGACAAAATTCTCGCTACCTTTCCCTGATAGAATCCATCAGATCTGATGGTGCCATAGACAGTGATGATGTCTCCCTCTTCAAAGGCTAGCTCGTAGGTCGGGTAATGATTCGGGGAGTGTTCAGCAGGGTTGTAGCTGTAAACTGCCATGAACTGCAGACAAAAGGGATGAGAAAATATCCAAGCAGTGACTGTAACAGCTGCTTATGTTTTATTTTATTTTATTTATATCTGATCATCCAACAGCGCATTTAGCTCCAATTACAGGATAATTAGTGAAGAAGACAGTGAAGAAATGTTAAGTTTTAGAGGTTGGACGAAAACCCCGGATGAATGTTTCAAGGAAAACCCACGGCCTCAGGTAGGGACTGAAAACCTAATCCACATATCGACCGAGCCGGATTCAAACCCAGGCCCCCAGAGGTGGAAGGTGAAGAACTCCCCTGCGTTAAACACAAAAGGGTCTTAGACCTTGCTCTCAGTCGCAGCATGATGGATGCTGTTTGCAGTCTCCTACTCAGCTGGTCTGCATTAAAAATTGTTTGAATTCCACAATATGGAACTGGACTCTGTTGGTGATACTGGCAACAATCTGGTGTGCTTGGGGAAGGCAATTTGTCACCGGTTGCTTCACTTCTTACAGGTGGTAATGTGAGATATGTGAAATATGCAGAACTGGAGCCGTACATTCCCATTAAACTGCAGTGGTCATAGGAATGGCTTAACCCTAACCCCCATCCTACTTTGGCTACAAACCCTGCCAGACACATCAAATGGCATCATTTGTGCCTGCCCAGTGTAACAAGATCCAACAGGTCAACTCTCTTAGAGGCCAAACAGCATGGGAGTCTGTGGTTGCCAGTATACAAAAGATCAACAGTGGCATGGTTCAATGGGACTAGCATCCATTGTATCAACATGGCCAGTTTGTTCGGCTGTTGTTGATTTCCCAGTGCATCAGACTTTTTCTCCTGATGGACTGTGCTGCGTCTGGCAGGGTTAGGGTTAACATAAATTTTTCTGGCTTATTAAGCACTTCTTTCATTTAAAATTGATTAACAAAAGTTTTATTTCGTCAGAGGGGTCACTTGCCCTAAATGTCGATTCCATTTTTGAAATAACACCACTAGATTTCACTTTCAGAGTATTGTAATTCAAGAAAATAAAACCAATTCCTCCTGTTTATTGTCATTTTCGTCTCACTCTGGAACGGCACTGAATTGGAATAGCAAATTTGTTTTTTTGTCATTCATTTTAATTAATCAATCATTCAATTTCATTATAAACCATGAATTTATTATCAGGGGCTGTATACTCTGATGGAGCCACTTTATGCATATGGGCCTATGCTTTAGTGAGGAGGCATCTAAGGCCTGAACTCTCCAACCGGCCAATGCACGACAAAGAAGCAAATTCTTCGCCTCTGTTGAGAAGAGTCAGATGCAGCAGATGGCATACAGATGAATGGACTCACCAGTCGTTCTTGCAACTCCTCGCTGATGACTGAGGACCCATCTGACGTGACTGCACCGCGGCCAACCGAGGACATCGTCCTTACAGAGTCTGATAATGATGACGAGAGGACGCCTGGGTCCTCAAACCCCACCGTGATGATGGGGGAGGCCTGGCCTGTGGCCGAGACAGTCTGGATACCAAATGACTGAACAGTGCACAAATTAACTCCTTCCACTAGAGCCTGCCAAGAAAACAGTATCTAAATTATTATGATGTGTGACATTGATCGGAGAATCTTCCAGAAGTTGTTATCATGTCAGTAACAGACAACTTTTTTTGCTTGGACTTAAAAATTGAACTGAAAATTAACAGTTGGAAAATTGTTATTACCATCAGAAATTCATAATCAGTAACTAAATTAACCCCTTAACGCCAAGATTCTTTTGACCACGACTGCTGGGCTGCGGTATGCCAGTATGCAGAGCCCTGTCCAGCAGCAGGCCCACATTGAAACCGCAGGTGCATGATGAATAAAATGTATGTGTGGTATGTACTAATCCTCACACGGAGCCGTGACTGTGGCTGTAGCCATCTCCCGGCGTTAAGGGGCTAAATACAGCACACTGATAGGACTGAGTCAATTCGAATAATTCACTATTCAAATATTCGACCTTCAATTTGATCCAATATCCGAATATTTGGTCGCACTGAGCGGCAGAATGTTGATGAACAAACCATGTACAAAATCAGTTGCAATAACACACAATTGTACATTATGATCAATATAATACATGTAGCTTCCCACATCTAGGAGTATCTCCAGCCATGATTTAGCAAGATTTACGAGATGAACAAGACTTCTTACCACGTTGAAAATTTCTACTCCTTTTCAATTATTTAATGAATAATTTACTTTTTAAATCGTTGTAAGATTTCTGTTGCTTTTCATTTGACTTTGCTTGCAACAAGCCTCCATAGTGCAATTTTTCTCATTTAAAACAAAAGAAAATTTATATAATGGGTTTTGCCCTTACCCAACGTATATATGCAAAAATACATCTTGAAATAGTTTGTGGTACCCGCTGCTTCACTTGACTTGGACTGGCCAGCCCAACCCAGCAAGCTCGGTGGTCGAGAGGTTAAGACGTCTGCACTAGTAAGCAGGAGATCGTAGGTTCAAGTCCCACCTGAGTGGGCTTGTGAATTTTTTCGCAAGCTTGGGAATCTTTTCACAAGCTCTCAGACAAGCACTGAGCCTACAGCGTTTATCAATATATACGTTGGGTAAGGGCAAAACCCATTCTTGGAAAAGAAAATTTTCCCTTTCTTTCCATGAATTTCGCATTCGAATATCCAAATTAGAAAAATAATATTCAAATATTCAACAATAGATCAAATATTCAATTATTCATATTTTCGGCACAGCCCTAAACACTAACAAACTTTGTGGGAATGGCAAAAAGTAGCCAACGAAAGTAGCAATGGGACACTGCTGTTTTTCTAAAAAGTTGACAACTTATAGGGGACAGCTGAAACACGTTCAACCTTTTACAATGTCAAGCATAAACCACTTGAATAGATGAATTTCACATTAGTGCCGTCTGCACATATCTGCATCGAAACCAAGGCTCTCTGTGATGAACTTCGTCACGCGCGCCCGCAGAGTCCACACAGTACATGCAGTATCCGGTTCGCAAGTGTGACACCACTTCAGTTTAAACCACGCCCACTGCACAAGATACATGGCCATCACAGCTACGTTAGTTCGCGGTAAATTGCCATTGTTTTTTCTTTTGATTTCATGTGTCGAGTCATTCTGAAAGACTCTTCAACAAAAATTTGCCACCTGACAAGTCTGAATTTAACATACCTTCATGTATTTTGTGTCTTAACTCCTTACTTTCAATCGTCTGATCGTATTAAGAATTGAAGCTGACACATACATGTACAGCCTCGTTTTCAAATGCGGAAGTGCGCAGATCGACGCTAAAAGCGTCGTATTGGGATCCCTCTATGGGTCTAGAAGATATTAACCATTTTGCTTCGGGGTGCCCGGTACCGGGGCTTAGGTTTGTAAGCGTAACTGGGGTGCCCAAAATCCGAAAAAGGAGCTGGGCCTTGTAACAAACAACCCTACTTAGAACAAAAGACCGGGCCACTGGGAATTGCCAAGAATTTTCAGTTGTCAATAGTGGAGGTAATCCGTTTTTGTTTTGAAACGGTATACCACTATCTGTGGCATTCAGTGCGAGCGGATTGTAACAGCGGACAAAAGCACTCCAGCGATGAGTGATACAATACCGCTGCACGCTAATCTGGCCCCTATTGAAAGGACGCCAGCAGCGGACTGGGCTGGTTTGGGAAACAAAAGAAAATTACATAACAACGCAAAACTGGGCTCTTTTTATAAGGCGGCAGGACTGGCTGAAATGCTCAGGCATCAATAAATGTTGTCTGTCAGATTAGAGTAGCCACCAGACAGTCATTTGTGTGAGTGTAAATGTCCGGTAAACAAAGTTATGAATTTTGAAGAATTTTGAAAAAGAAAAATCTTGAAAATACCCCAGAAACTCGTCATGCAACTTCAATTTAGACCCGGCAGCATATGGTTAAGGGACTTACATGTACATGAAGAAGCTTAAAACTGAACTTTTGCAAACACAACAGAATTCTGACAGTACATTCAAGATAAATGCATTATATCATCTCAAACCTGGAAACGCCCTGATGAAGTTTTAAAATGAACAATAAGTTTTACCTTAGTGAGGTAGGCATTAGTGACAAGCTGTTTCTGATGACCATCGACAAAGATCTTGTAACCGACAATTTCCAGCCCATTGTTCTGTCCTAGGTCATCCAGGTCTGGAGGGTGCCACGTCAAGATAACTCCGTGGCGACCTACGACCTTTGACACACTGAGACTATGAGGTGACTGCAGGGTGCCTGCAAGCAGCAAAATACAAATGGGGCTTGGCTTTTAGTTTTGGATTCATCTGATGATATGATACTGCTTCACTTTAACGCATTAAGTTAAGAAGGTATATATTTTCAATGTTTATACATAACTGTTTATTTGATGTGACTGGACAATGCTTCCTCGACATGTTTTTACATGACACAGAAATGACACAATAAGCAACAAGGCTGTGCTGTCAATGGGGGAAATACCACTTTGTGATATGTGGTCTTTAAACTTGCTAATGACCACAATGGTCAAAACCTTGTAATTTACCAAACTGTCAGTGATTATGTGTAGCATCATTTCACTTAATTCCACCTCACAATGAGTGTAATTACTTCCCTTTATCTATTGCTCAAGAAACCACTATTGCGTTGACTTCACATTCATATGGCCTTTGCACTTATTCTGGCCTGGCCTAAGTGGGTATACTGACCTGCCACTTGGGCAAGTTATTCCACAATGCTGCGGGGCAAAATAGCAGCTAAGTTGGAAATAGTTCAGAAAAATTGTTGTTGTTGGTGTTGCAAATTTAATTTCTGCCTAAATTGAAGAAAACTAAGTCCACATTACCTTGGACATGATGCGTCCTCCCGACTCCATGATAAGGCAAATGTTGACCTCCTTGACCATTCACCAATGGCATAACAGCACCAAGATTCAATGGAGGCTGGTCAGGCTCGTCAATTCCTTGCAACACATTCTGGTGATGCAAGGGAGTGCCTAACTGCTTTAGGGGTGCTGTACTATTGAACAGTGTTGCATGCTGGGAAGGGTGCAATAGAGCTGAAGCGACTTGTGTCTGAGCAGAGATGTTGTTGCTCTCCACCAAGGGAGCATGGGCACTTGCAGTTGAGACTGGTGGGATCATGTGACCGCTGCCGCGCATGGGCACCAAGGGTGGATGCTGACTACCAGGTAACGAGGCCATGTGGCCATTATGAGATTCAGCAGTGACCTTTGGTACACTGGAATCTGGACCCTGCTGTTGGATAGAATGTGCGCTTGGAACCCTGCTCTGATGCGGTAATGGGTTGGCACCATGACGTGAACCTCTTGCGCTCCCATGAGAAACAAATCCGGAGGGAATATTCCCAGGATGCACTGCTGCAGTGCTGACCACATGATGCTGTGGCGTTCTGCTCGCTCCTTCTGTGAATGAGTTAGCAACAGGGCCTTTGATCCCTGCATGGAGAGTTGGAGAACCCACCTCGGGTTGGATGTTTAAAGCACTTACTCTAAGCTGGCCATGGGATGTGACACTCGCACCATTAATTTGTTGGGAACTCAGTGTTGAGGGTAGCTGTGCTGCTGTGGGCATAGCATGCACGTGCAGAGTTGAGGAATCTACCACAGCTTGAACGTCTGAGGTACTTAGTCCAGGTTGGAGCTGCGATGTAACACTCTTTTGTTGGTCACTCAGTGTCAAGGGTACCTGTATTTTTGTAGACATGGGATGTGTGTGAAGGCCGGAAGAACCTACCCCAGGTTGAAGGTGCAAAGTGCTACCAACACGTCGGGGAAGTGACATACCACCCCTAGCGGCAAGCTGCTGGGTACTCAATGTAGAGGGTTGTGATGATGTCTCAGTCCCAGAGTGCAATGTGCTCTGCCCAGGATGCATTGCCAAGGCATCAACTTCATGACGAGAGCTGTTAGGGTGGATCAATCCTGGAGTCCCACTTGAAGGCGCCTGCATGCCAGTCCCAGACAGTGAAGCATGAAAAGAATATCTGTTTGGGATCACTCTGATCTCACTGGGCACACCTGCTACTGATTGGGCATTTTTTGCATCGCCATTCACTGGATGGCCATCCCCATTGGCCAAATGTCCAGCTTGCCCAACAATCGCATCATGCACTCCTGCAGACCCAACGGTGTTGGAAGCTGAGTTTACAGGTTGTGAATTTGGTGCACTGTGGCTGAATTTTACTTGTACATCCTTCTCAGTCTGGACTCCTTCTACATTACTGATTGGATTCTGTTGCACCTCATGCTGCATGGCTGACCCCGGCCCGGTATGTGGTAATGCCTGTGTTCTTGACTGCATCCTGCTATCCAAGAGAACAGGGTGCCGTCCAGTTGTGCCTCCAACTGTACCCGAGTTTGCAGCAAGGGTGTCTGAACTTGTAATGCCGCCAGTCAGCAATCCAAAGGCCGAGCCATTGTGGGCTATGGCAGTTTTGGGTGTAGCAATCGAGTGCCCATTCGCAAACTTCAAGTTTCCCGGGTGCACTGCAGAGGAGGCTGCAAAGGCTTGCCCTAGTGGGGCAGCCGTAGTCTGGTGCCCTTCTGGCTGAGATTGTAAGCGCAGACCAATAACTGGGGATGGAACGCTCGTGAATGGAGTACTGTTGTTCAGATTTGACGATGCGCTCGTGTGGCCAGAGAATACTTTAGGACTTGAGTGGACGCCATTTGCTGAAGGGGAAAATGAGTCCATGTCCCCATTTTTACTACCTAACAGGTAAGGCTGCCTAATGTCCTCTTGCTGCTGACTTGAATAGATGGGTGATTTCACTGACAGGGATGGGTTACAAGGGTCCATTAGCTCCTGTTGATGTGTGTGACTGGGACTGCCCCTGTGTGGTGAATGGAGCAGTCCACCATCTCTACTTGTATCATTTGTCTTATGGGAGAGGCGATTACTTTGCAGGGAAGTTGCTGTCCTTGCCACACTTGAGGAGTGGGCATCTCTGCCAAGTCTCCTTGCCGGCGTGGTCTTTGTTGGTGAGGCTCTCAAAGCGGACCTGAGAACGTCCACTTCCAAATCGTCCGCCCCTCTTGAAGGGGTGAGGTGGGATCGGGCACGACTTCCTGCCGTCCTCCTCATCAGCTCCCGGAGAGAGATCCCCTCCCCTCCTAGCCCCAAATTATCCAAACTCCCGCTCAGGGGATCCAGGCCCAAGTGCCCTCTCGTGGGCGACAGACGACCAAGTTCGTCGTCGTCGCTCAAGTCATCCACTCTGATGTCGTTCATACTCTTGCTAAATTTGTTGACTTGCCATTGTCTGGCCTCACCTCCTCTAACTTGATGATCTTTTGAGGTTCTGCTGGCCAAATCCCTCACATCCCTCCCCCTGCCTGCCAAAGGTTCACTGAACTCGTCATCAGGGAGGCTCACAGCTGTCAAGTCACTGATATCAGACACTAGCTGTTCATTTCTGTCAGGACGGAACTGTTCTAGCTCAGCAGCCAATCTCTGTATGATAGCGTCCCGTTCCTTGCATTTCCGTAACAAGTAGGAGATTTTGGCCTGATTAGGAAGTAGAATGAGGTAACAATATTAAAACAAATGGATAATCAGATCTGATAATTTAAGTTTTAGTTATGCTGTTTATCCAACAACTTCAATATAACACAATATAACCCTAAAAAGTCTAGGCCAACACAACAATTCACAGTGTTGTCTACTGGAAGTGTGAAGACAGGAAATCAGCTACTTTGAGGAAAAGTTGCTGCCATTCTTAAGGGCATTTTCAAACTCAACACGAAGTGCCGACAGTGTTCAGGTTACCTTTAGAGGGGCAACTGATATCTCAGCTTCATTCTTTTTGTGCTCCATGTCATCAAACTAAAATGATTAAAAAAAGGAAAAATATAAACAGTCAAAAAACAGTTCCAAAGCACAGTGACCATTAAGTTACAAACTGCTTGAACAAATTGAACAATCAGATCTTGACTGACGGTTTCAGCTCCAGCTTTTGTAAACCCTCGATAAAATCCCTCACAAGGCCGTAACCACATGCTTGGATTAGTCTCTGTTTTAGTCCAACGTTTACCATAGTGAACTGCAGCACACAGACACTTTGTCTTGAAGTGAAGCATTTTAATATCTGCAGAAGGCCGTTTATGCAGAACTCTAACCTGTTCCTTAATGCGTCTGTAATCAGCTTCAATCCCATCCCTCCTTCTCCTCTGTTCTTCCAAGTGTCGGATGCGGTCCTCCAATGCAGCATTGTCTTCACCAAGACGGAGTTCCTCACTTGTCTATGGTAAGAACAGGCAAAAAAGCACTACTTGCAATTTAATATTCACTTCGATTTTGCAGAACTATTTCAGCAACAAAACTTTAAATGTTTAACACTCGAAAGAACCTGAAAATTTGCCCTCTTCAGTTATGGTTTTGCCACAGTCCCAGTTGCTCACTAGCATAAATATAGCCCTTTTAGCCTGAGATTTCATTCCACAAGGTGCCAATATTTGCAAACTTTAATTTCTCAAATTTTTCCTCAATTTTCCCTAAAAATTATAGAATGCTCCAAATATGTTGCCAGAAATACTCATTTCTAAATTACACAAACTGTAAGTAAATTAGAATTACTTGAGCACCACCAACTTAAGGTTTCAAAACATCATTTTTCCACAATCTCCCAAGGTCCATCCATTTTTTTCCTCCTCTATGCTACCTTCTCCCTCAGCATCTCCTCAGCCATGTGGAGCTTTCGCTCCAAGGCTTCCTGGTCCTGGTTGCCATGACGACTGTCAGCCAGCTGCTGTTGTAGCTCTACCCATCTGTCTTCCATGGATGCCAACCTTTGAACTCTGCCCCTCAGTTCTTTATTCTGTGAGAATAGAATTATGAGCAACATACAATCAAAAGACTCAAGTACAATTTGACTGGACCTGTCGAAACGTACAGGATGCGATGACAACCTTAGACAGTATAAAGTAGATGGTATAAATCCTCCATACATTTTACCTTTGGTCAGCAAAGTTGATATGCAACATAGGACACTGTGTTGACTGAAGTTTAATCCTTTGTTGAGTTGAGACCATGTGTTTTCTAAATTCTCAATAAAGAGTACCTTTTACCACTTCACATACTAAGCACAAATTCCAAGGCATTAATACTTTAAATGTTGAGAAAAAAGCGAGGACAGATATAAGGGGAAGCAAATTAACAGTGCACACAGGCAAGAAAGTGTCCCTCAGGGTTTTCCAACTCTGGGCTCTGCCTCAACATTCAGGCTTCAGTTTTGTAAATTTCATGACCTGAGTTGCGGCCCTTCAGGTCAATACAACACCACTTTCAGAGTATAAGCTATAGATGTCCTGATGTGAGGCAAACCTTTGACACAATTTTAATTGGCTCCAAAACGTAAACTGACTGCAAAGTGTATGATGAAGTTGAAGATGGAAACAAGTCATGACTGGAGGGAGGAGAGATCCTATAGTCTGACTGAAAGTTAACTCAAAACATCTTTAATTTGTACACAAAGTTAAGCAGTTACACATTGCCTACAATTTGTAAAATCTTCCATAACTTTATCTTTCTGACAATCTCCCACAGAAAAAGCCTGCCCTACCTCTCTGGTGAGAACATCCAGAATATTCGCAAGGTGCAGTTCACGTGCCGTCGTATCTTGTGGTCTGGAATCAGGTGATCGGTCATGTGATGAGGTGTCACATGGCTGTACCGCATCCACATCATCAGCGCTTCTGCCAGAGAGCTGTTGTTGCTCCTCCGATGCTGTCTGCAGATTTCTCAGTTTTTCAGACTCCTTCTTAAGGGCTTTCTCCTGTGAAAACAAACAGCTCATCCAGATCATCAAAATAATTATTGCTTCACATTAACAACATCCCCCCAAGAGCCTTTATCATTTCTCCTGCATGTTAGGGTTACGAGAAAACAAACAAATTCCTTATGTAATACCACAATGTGTAATTCTGTCAAGAAAAGCCACTGAAAAGCCAGTGAGCTGCTAACGTTGGACACACATAAAACACTGTTGCAAATTGAGTATGAGAAGGGAGTACCAAGGTTAAAACCTTTGCCTTTTTATCAAACAATAGGTACAGTGACTTGCTTTAGAATACCGTGAATGTCACTGTTGGGTCACACTACTGAAGCATTCTGAGGGGAAGGTTGCAGGAATGAAAGGACAAAAATACAAATGAATTAATTGTTTTAGTGGAGAAAGGTATCACTTGGGGGAAGTTATCTAGCCGGAGGGTTAGAAATGAAGTTATGAGGTCATCCTAGCCACTGCACCTTGTAGTAAGCTGCATTTCATAACCTGCCGCATTTTAAGTACCTTGGAGGAAAGCTCGCTCTCCCTCTTGTCCATCTCTTCTTTCATTCTTGCCTCCTCTTCCTCCCTGTTCTTGAGTTCTTCCTCCTTCTCCTTCAGGCTTTCCTGGCTCCGCTCCAGCTGCAGGATGTCCAAGATAAAGAGCGTCAGGTAATATGAATCAAGTATTCTCACGCCAAGTTGCATAAGGATCACAGGAGAAGTTGCTTGTGACATTGGTTATTTCCACAGCAAACCATTGTCATTGGGTAGCAAGATTTGAGCGCATGCTCCGCCCAATGGCATCTAGCATCCAAGGCATCATGAATCTTTATTTGGAAGCACTTATAAAAAGGTTTCTCTACTGAAAACTCTCTTCCGTGTCATGAAGAGCAGATTCAAAAACAGAAAAATGCAAAATTGTGAGAGAACAAGTGTTTAGACAATCATACCTTTAGTTTTAGTCTGCCGATCTCAGCAGCCTTACTCATCAGCAGATTTTTGTTAATTGCTGGTTGGTGCAATTCCTCGCTCTCAGACTGTTCCGTTAGCAAAATTGAAGTGTTAGGCAAAGCAGATATAGAATAGGTGTACATGTAAGTAAAGTAAAGAAGTTAATAATTAAAGACGAGTTAGCTCTGAATGAAACAAGCAAGCGATTAGTCCAGATAGAGAAATCAAAATAATACACATTGGGTAGTGTTCCCAATTCCCCTATGTCTCACAGACATACATGTAGATAGAGAAATCAAAATAATACACATTGGGTAGTGTTCCCAATTCCCCTATGTCTCACAGACTTGTCAAGTACCATCTGCCACAGGCAAGTGATATAGAAAAAACCCTTTGATGGTTGCTCTGCTCCATAACAATTCTTCCTTCTGATATACTCCAAGTCACCAAGTTCCTACAGTATATCTATGAGTACATGTGACTCCACATCAAGGGTTCAAGGCAGAAGTACAGCTGTGCCGAATATCCAAATATTTAATTATCAAATATTTATTTTTTAATTCAAATATTCAAATGCAAAATTAATGAAAAAAAAAGGAAGAATTTCCTTTTTGAAACGAGAAAAATCTCACTATGGAGGCTTGTTTCAAGCAGATTCCAGACACTAAGGCAGCTGAAATGCCTAACAGTCCAATACAGAATCAATCCTAGAATATGGAAACATTTATAAATAAATAAATCCTTAAAAATATAGCTTTAAGTAAAGCTTTAAATAAAGCTTTGTGAAAAAATTTGAATGTGCCAACAAAGTATTCTTTGGAATAATGATGTATTGATGCAAACTTTGTTGAAATAAAATACGATGAAACCTTCATGACAATATTTAAACTTGAAATAAAAGTGAAAAGCTTTTATAGTAACTATAATGTGAAATTGTGTGCATTATTGTGACTGATTTTGTATATGGTTTGTTCATCAACAATCTGCCGGCCACTACGATCGAAATTCAAATATTTGATTGAATTGAGGGTTGACTATTCGAATAGTCTATAATTCGAATTGACTCAGCCCTAGGCAGAAGCTGCTCTGACAAGGCAATCTTGGACTTCTAACCACTGTTAAAGAAAGCATCTGGAAACAAACACAGTGAGAGCACCCGCACCCGTGAGCGCACCCGCATGTACATGTATGTGTACATGTTTACCACTGGCAGGTGCTTTGGGTAAGGATGATTCCATGTTTGTACCAACCCCACCACAACAATGCATTTCTCTTGGGTTATTCTGAAAGATACATGTACAAGTACATGTCACGGTAATTATATACTGATTGATTTCAGATAAATGCATGCTGTGTTCACACGAGAGGTTGAATTTTACAGGCATCGCATGAGTACAACATGTAATCTACACAGTAACGGCCGATGTTACAACATCCACAGGTTACATTCAACAAAAACATGAGGCCGGGTAAATGAGGTTAGTGAACCACTGATCCCATCAATATATGGGATGGAAGAAATTGAAGCAAAGGGGAAAGCACTGTGAAGGAGAAGCTGAAAAACATCCCAACTACCGCGTAAGGTTCAATGACTAATGAAAGCATGACATTAAACTTTGTATTCAGTGCTAACCTGAGGAGTTTGATAAGCCTTTTGCAAGTTAAATTTGAATAAAATCTGGTACACTGAGTTATCTGATTGCACATAAACGTAACAATTTGAATTCTCCATACTACAGTTACTGTTGCTATACCTCGTGATTCGGGGCAAACTTTTGCATAGCGACCACCATCTCTGAAATGGACTGGTTCCTTTGTGCCCTTCTTATCCACTGAAAACATTGTACTGGTGCAAGGCATCTCTTATGTAGCTAAGCAAAAGCTTGCCCCAAATCACAAGGGTTAGCAACAGTGTCTTTAGTATGGACAATTAAAATTGATATGTTATCATGAATTTAAAGAATACTGTGTACCATATTTTATTCATATTTCATTCACAGAAGGTTTATTGCACCTGCATGCCACTGCATGTCTAACAGCTTTCCCATAAGTGCACATACATGTACATGTAATCACATTCCCAAGTCCAACTGTATCACCCACCTTGGCATGTACTTTTGAAAAATCATAATCACAGTTTGTGTAGAAAAGGACATCCCCCCAAAAATCTGCATTATATCTGCATTTGTCCCCACATACCCCTGATCTACAAATCAAAACTGTGGCTTGTTCTGTTCAAGTCATGGTTGACTGACCTTGGTCTTGAGGCTGTGGATTTCTCTCTCCTTCTGTTTGACCTCTGACTTCAGCAGAGCAACCTGCCTCTCTTTGTCCTGGAGGTCGATCTCTTTTGTCTGAAGCTACGTGTACATGGGAGACCAAAAAACATCACTTTCATACCGATGTGCAAGAAGAGCCCAACCAAGCCCTAATTTTGGCAAGGTACCTCAAATAATCAGAAATCTTAAACAATCTTGGAATTGTTCAAAATTCAACTGTGAAATATCCAGTGGCACGTGGGATGTAAAACTGACATGCATTTAGAAGTCTGCTATCAACTGAAGTAAGACAATACACATGTACATCCATGTGTAATGTACCTGTAATTTCAAAGGTCGAAGGTCACCATGGTCTTGCAGTTTCTTCCTGAGGTTTTCTTCGCTCTGCCTCAACTCTTTCACAAGTTCTTCTTTCTCCTTTGAAACAGAAATACAGAAAATTATGCTGCATGTATGCATGTTGAAATTTATTTGCACATATACGCTAATAGTACCGTATGAGCACATAATGCCTGTACGCACGTGGAAAATAAACTTTTTAAATTAAATTAATTTAAACAGGCCCAAAGCAGCAAATTATGATACACGCCTTGTGCAATTTGTATGGTTAGAGTAACCATGGCTCTTGCAATGCATTCTGTTTGACACTGGTTAAAAACATTGCACTGTCTATGTGCAGATCTTCACATACACGTACATGTACATCATGAACAAATTTTCAAGGGTAACAGCTAAGCCATGTCCATAGGGTCTGATCAAATGACATAAAAGTAGCTTGTGAACCTAACATTTCCACCACTGCAGCAAGTAGGAGTTTGGTTAGCAACCATGCGTCATACTTTTTGAGCTATAGCAGGCTTAATTTTGTACAAGACCAACTACATGTACATACAATGTATTTGTTTACTGAATGACACCATGATTACTGCCCATATCATAAAAAAATTGTCGTTTTGCAGATTTAGCACTGGGTGTTGGCTCTCCCTTTTTCTCACACTTTTTGATAATTATGAACAAAACAGAGTCTTTACCTGGAGCTGTTTTTCCATTGTGTCAATGCTCGTCTTGAGTCGTCCCAAGTCAGTCTCTTCCTTCTCCTTCTCTGCCGTCTGCCAATCCATCATCTGCTTCAGCCACATCGGAGTTGCCGGCTTCGCCAGGGAGTTTCCTACTCCCTCACTAGCCACTGGGGCTCGGGGCAGCCTCAGGGAGTGGTCTGGTCCCACAAACACTGACGCTGCTGTGATAGCTTCCACCTCTTGTTCCGTGATGGAGGAGACCGTGTCCAGACCACTGTCAAAGGATGCTGGGCGGTGGGGGGCAGTTGCTCTGAGAGGGTCATCCCTGTGATCCCTTTTCGGACTGGAGTCACAGCCTTTGGCAAGGTCTTGTTGGTAGGCTTCGGGTTCCATCAGAGTGTCAGTGGATGAGGCATCACTGTCTAAATCAGTGCTGACAGTGTGATTCTGGCTCTTGCGGGTCAAGGGATGAGGACTGTCAGGCCCATTACTGTAAGATGGTAAAGAGCTCCTCCACTTGTCATGGTTACTTTGAAGTGAGTCTGCATTTGGCTTGCCAGGAGGAGACAATTTCGGAAGTGGAGGTGGGAGGTCAAGACTGTCAGTCTCACTGTGATTCTCTGAAGATTCCCTTCTGAAGCCACTGATGAAACTTCTCTGCTGGCCAGAACTCGGCGAGCTTGAATCTGGTTTCCATGGGGGAGACGATGCAGGTAGTGGAGGTGGCGGCCCATTAAAGCCATCCTTATCATCATCTTTATCTTCTACTTCCAAGGAGTCATTTCTGATCACACAGCGTGGAGGGGAGTCTCCCAGCAGGGGTGGGGGGTCTCCAGCCAGGCTGTCTGAGCTCATGGAACTGGTGCGCTTGTGGGCTGCCGGCATGTCAGGTGGAAGTGATTCTGGAGGGGCTGGTGGAGACATCTCTGACTCGACAGAGAGCTGCTTCTCACATTTTATATCCACTGCCTCCAACTGTCTGCCCTCAGCGGCATCGATGGAATCTTCATCTACATCTCTCTCATCGTCCGGGTACCAGATGTTGGCATTATTCCAGTCAACATCGGGTGGCGCCTTCCAGGGTAAGTCTCTCAGGGCAGCCACAAACTCATCAAGCATACGTCTCTTGGTAGTCGGGCTGGCAGCCTCTAAGGGCCTCAGGTTGCTTTGGGCCCCACTCCCTGCCTCCGTCTTGGAACATTCCTCTCCCAGGAGGGAAGGGTAAATTGGTTTCCGCTTGACCCCCTGTGGGTGTGGTTTGACTTCCGGGAGCTTCCTAGAGAGACCCCGCAGCAGCCGTGCTCTCGGTTTCCTGCATTTGCCGATGAAGAGCTTGTTGAACTCAACAAAGAAGTTCTTGCCCTCCCTCAGGAGAACAGGGTCAGTGGGGCTGCAGCCTTGTGGCAGGGCCTCTAAGAACTCCTTTAGTGTCATCTCAAACTCCTCTGTTTTGTGAGCAAATATTCACTGATATTAAAACACAGTCCAAAGAAACTCTCCAAAAACCCTAATGAGTGGCTTAACAAAATTTATAATCAACATAACATATTGATGAAGAATTTATGACAGTTTATTATAGATTCTGGAAATCCTCTTCTCAGCAGATAATTTTGAACCTTCAAACTTCTACAACAGCAAGTAGGAAATTTACAATCCCTCCCGAAAAATTGAATAAAAATATACTGATTTCAACGTTGCTAGACAAACTTTAACAAGGGTTTTAAGTGAGTCAATCCATATTATTCCACACAGTTTTATAAACGGAAAATATTTCTATGGAAAAATGCAGAGAAGGAGTAACTCATGCATTACCAATTAAGACTGTTGCCAGGAGACATTCATTGGGGATGTAGGTCAGGGCACCGGTCTGACTGCCCTTATTAATAATACTTGATGATTGCTCGTTGCCAAACTGGTATAAAGATACAGATGAAGATGAACATTATGCAGTTGTGAAATTCGAAGCAATATTGAAAGCACTGGGTTGGAGAAGGTGTGGGGTGCCCTTGATGACTTTATTCGTGAAAAACATATCAAACGAATACAGTATACGAAACTAATATATATAGAACGAAAGTGAATTAAATATAAAATAAAACAAACATATAAAAGTTGAAAGAAATATACATAGGACGAATCTAATACGTAAAGTTCGAAATCAATAAATATACAGGACAAAGATGATTTATATAGACGACACTAACAAATTTACGACACAGCTCATATATACATGATGAAACTAATAAATATAGAAGGAAAAAAATACATAGGATGAAACTAATAGATACCCATATAGGACGAAACTAATATGGGAAGAAAGTATAATAAATACAGAACGAAACTACAAAATATAGGACTAAATTAAAAAATAGGACAAAGTGCCACCACTTCGATGCCAGAATGGTTGTGATAAAGAGCAAAATGTAAAATATATAGAACGAAAATGTAAAATGCCCGACATGACATGGAAAGAGTTACACAGACAACACTTGATGCCCTGTGCACAAATCTACAAGACTTGCCTTGGAAAAAGAACTGTTTTCTAAATAAATGCTTTGGAATTCCCCTGGCTAAATTTCACTTTTTGGGACACTGCTTTCTGAGGCTGTTGTAACATTTTAAGGGAAAATTTGCATTGTCCATAACTATTCTGGACTCTTTCACCTAACACTCTTGATCATACAGTGCACGTCACAACACCACACTCTACTTGTCCTAGAGATTTATAGAAATGAGTGGAGCTGTAATCCTGAACCATGGCTCAAGAGTCAGAAAATGTGAATGTTCATGTACGAGAAGTACTTGATAACCTCCTTCAAAACCCTGCTTTCTATGAATTAGTAGCTACTAATGTTACACCCACTGGCAATGGGCCTAGGCCTACTGCTGCTAGTGCTAGTGCTACTCGTGTAACGGCCTGACATTGGCAGCAGTGCCACTGACCAGAGGCCAACGGTCAACAATGTGGTCAATCATAATCAGCATGATCAGGCATGGCAACCAGCAATGTTGCAGTGTGTGGCCTAACCATGCTGCGGGGGCTTTCGCAATTGTTCCATACGGTCCTAACACTTCAGAACACCCGAGAAAGCTCTGCATCACTTCAGAACAATTGGAAAAACTCTGCATCATGGTTAGGAGCGACGTCTGCGAACCGGTCGGTAGATGGCACTTCGCCTTATGTATTTTAGGTTTTCGTTCCCGGTATTTTAGGTTTCATTCAATATATTTTACATTTTGCTCTATATCACATCTGGTCTGGCGCTCAGGTGGCAGCACTTTGTCCTATTTTTTAGTTTTGTTTTATATTTTTTAGTTTCATTCTATATTTATTGCTTTTACCCTATATATATTAGTTTCATCCTATATATTATTTTCCTTCTATATTTATTAGTTTTATCGTTTATAAACAAGTTTTGTCGTATATTTATTAGTTTTCATCCTATGTAAATCACCTTTGTCCTTTAAATGTACTTTCATCCATGGTTCCGTACTTTACGTATTAGTTTCGTCTGATACATCTTTCTTTCATCATATTTGTTTCGTTTTAGATTCATTTCACTTTCGTCCACTACATGTTAGTTTCATATCTATATTTTTATATCTATAAAAATTTCCGTTTGAATTTTTGTACGAATAAAGTCATAAAGGGCATCCCATAAGAAGGCTTTTCTAGGGAGCCATTAAGAAGCAACAAAATCCCGGGTTTTTTGTAACAAATACGCCTACTCTGGCAAATGATGTGGTAGTGTGATTTAGCACTTTCTACAAAATGATGCAAGTAACACATATATGACATACCTCATGATACATGTATCTTCTAAGACGAGGACAAAAAGGAGAGACTCGAGCTCAGAATTAAAGCCACATGGAAACAAAAAGCTTTGTACTTCATTTCTAATGGACCAGATACAAATACATGTAATATGATGTACAGTTTGCATGGCTCTGACCAACCGACTATGGAATAGAACTATTACTATTAAGGAATGCATAAGAATAAATTTATGAATAAAAATTTTATTAAATTATCCATCAACATACCAGAACCCGTATCCATTACAAAATGCATGTACGGTAGACCATAAATCATTTCCAAAACCAAACAGCACTTCACAAGCTGGCAAAACAAGCATACATGCCCTTTTCAATAAAAATATTGCTTTGCAAGGACTCAACCAACGGAGATGTATTACATACATACAGAGCGAGGCCACACAGCAAGAAGACTTGTTTCTCACATTTTAGACCTATCACCACGAAATGGGCTGAGAGTCAGAAGTTTCAAAAATTGAGATATTGGTACTTTTGAATTCAGCATAAAATGAGCTTTCCAGTGGTACATACATGGTACACTTAAAGTAAAACTATGAGGTGACTGTGTGACATTATTCTGGCAGCTTTGCGTCTTTGTTCCAGACATTGTTTCAAGTTACATGTTTATTTTAGACCAGCCACAAATAATGCTACAGTCAAAATTGCTGAGAAAATGACATTTTTAAATGTGTGATTCTGCAAAATATTTGGAATTAAATAGGAGACGGGTTACTCTTTCCAAATATTACAAAACCCAAAATTGCAAAATTGACCTCTACTTCAATATGACTTTGAACCCTAAAACAAGAAAGAGGGGGATGTGACTTTACTCTCATTTTGTTGTTTGTGAACTATGCACGTTTCAAAGCATTTTCATCTTTCAAAGTAAGGGGGGAGTTTTCATAAAAGGGTAGAGGAGAAATGACAATAATTTTCTACTGACTAGCCAGGCAACCACGTTCTGCGGGTGCAGGTACCGGTGTTGTATGACTGAGAGATTACCAGACATATGCATATACATGTACATGCATGTGCTTCAAATAGGGGCAATTCACGATACAGTGCAATGCTGAGATGTTGTTATGGACAGGCCATTTTTAACTTTTACAGTTGACAAAAGCATGGCCACCTTGCCGTGATATACTTTGAGGAGCCTATGTCAGTAGACAACTTGAAGAAAGTTCTGATAGAGTGGGACATTCCACACAACAGAAAAAAAGATACAATTATTTGAAGCTGTTACTTCAAATACACCAATGAATATTCTTCCCTGACAAACACTGGGGATGCATGTACATCTGTAATTCAAGTTCTCTGCACGCAGCCTGTGAATAGGACTTGTCAACCATTTCTCACAATGCTACTGCAAAAATAGTCTTTCTGCATGTTCTGTACACCATGTTGTGAATCAAACATAATGAGCTGTGTATCAAGTTTGGCAATAGCGGAAAGAGCATGATGACTATATACCACCACAATCGTGATTTATAACTGTGGTTGCCATAATTATCATGTTTACAATAAAAATGCTACAGGTTCGATTTTGTTCATTAAAAAAATCCTTCTTGATATGTCAATCTAAGTCTGTAACTCTATTACTGAATCTCAGAAATGATGATTAGATGAAAGAAACAAAAAACTGACATTACTATAAATATGTACATGTAATTTGAGGTTTAAAAAAAGAATTTGCAAGTACATGTACTTATTAAAATTGAGAAACAAACACTTCTTTTCCTGAGGAAAACCAGCTGCTGCACATCCTGAAAGAATGTCAATTAATTGTTGCTCATTATGAACAGGCTGCATTACTCAGGCAACAGGCAAGCACACAGGTGGGCTATCACCTATTGTCATGGTAATTGTATGTCTGGGCTCTTCCATTTTGAGGCAGGTTGTGTGCCTACATGTATGCTCCAAACTGGAGGGGCAGAACTGGCATAATAGCAGTGCAAGATTTCCATGATTATATGAAATTATTATAGACAAACTGAAATACAAAGTGGCTTTTGTAAAAAGAAAGGCCCTTTTTAATATTCAATTCCATGTCGTTACCTTTTGGCTACATGTTAATTTAAATTTTTGGGAATCTAGACATGTACAAGTGGAACACTGAATCTTCCTTTGTGAAGGTCTGTCAGAGATGATATGTGTGGGGCTGCTTTTACAGTTACCAGGGGAGAAGGAGCACAGAGGAAGTCAAATTCCTCATCTTAATCAATTTTACTCCAAATGCGCATCAAATACCGAAATGATCTTTCCTGTGAATATAAATCCTCAGGGTGTGTAGACAACATACTAAACAACTACAGCTACATATTAGTTACAACTAATAGAATGAGGCCTAGTTGGGGACACACTGATGACTTCAAATAGGGGCATCCTTGCCAGAATGAGGTGTGGTGTTTTGCTGAAATTCTTAAAAAGAAGCCCCTTTCTTTTTTACGTGAGAGAATATTTAGGGAAACATCCTTTTTGCTCCTGTAATGGACAAAGTTATAAATGTTACCGCAGTTACTCTGGATAAAAATCAAGCCCATTAATGTTGGCAACATTGCGTATGAACTAATACCGGTACCTATGAATGTATTTGGTAATAATGTTCACAAACTCTTTTGTTAGCCTTGTTTCAACATAAACATTTCATATCAATGTAAAACAAAAACAGAAAAGAAGTAACATAACCTAAATACTTACCTTCACTTTGGGCTTTCTGTCTTGCTTCTTATCATCTTCTTTTTCTTGACTTATCATTTCTTTCAGCAAGTCTTCCCCAGAGATACCCAAAGTCGACAACTTCTTGTTCAGAACATCCTTCTCCCGCTTCAGGCGACCATTGTCCATCTTCAAAATCTTCTCGGCTTCCTCCAGCTCCCTCAAGTCCTTCTTGATCTCTCGGTTGTACTGGACAATCTCAGTCAAGCGATTTGTCGTCTTGACCCTCTCAGAATTTGCACTGGCCATTTCCTGTTTGAACCACTCTATTGACTTTTCAAGTTCCTGCACTTTGAGCTGTTCAGAGTGTTCCGGTTCTTTGCTCGCCTTCACTCTGTTTTGTGCACTGAGCTCAAAGCCACATTGTAGCTCTGAGTTTTCCATCTCAGAAGCTTTGAGTTTCTTCCTCAAGTCTTTGATTTTCTCTTCAAGCTCTTGAACATGCTGCTCTGACTGAACTTCAGATCCTACAGGAATAGAATCATTGTTGCTATGGGAAATCTGATTTAGTTGTTGCTCAAGCTCCTCTATCCGTGAAGTAGTGATGTCCATGTCATCCTGAAGACTTTTGTTAGCCTTTTCTAGTCTTTCAAAAGCCACTTCTCTGTCAGCTACAGTAGCCTTTAAAGAATCTTCAGCAGCCTTTGCCTCTTTAAGCTGGTCCTTTGCCTCATAAATTTCCTGCTCAAGTCTTTTAATGGTGTCTTTGGGATCCAGAGTGGCTTGAGGGGAGAGCTGTGTCAAGCCTGCCTCTGTTGGCACTTGTGCTTCCTCTGCGATAACAATCTGAGGCCTTACAAGCTCATCCTCATCCACCGAGGCTCCTGATTTGAGAAAGCCATCTTCAGATATTTGCTGATAGGGTGACTGGAGTAACTGGTCCTGCAAATCAGATATGGTTTCCTTCAAGATCTTGATTTCCTCTTTCAGCCGCTGATTAGTTTCCTCATGCATTACCACTCCTGCTTTCAACTCCTCCAGCTGAGCCTGCAGATCATTATCTGGACCCTGTACTTTAAGAGCATTCTCTAATTGCTTGATCTTGTCTCTTGCAAGATTTAGTTGCTCTTGCAAGTCACCATTGACTGATTTCAGAGACTCTTCCATAGTTTTGTAATTCTTGACAACTTGTTGTAGCTCTCGTTCTGAGTATTTGAGCCTCTCAATATCTCCTTCCAAGCGAGATACTTTTCTCTGAACTTCCAAATCATCTGTCTTAGCATCTGGTGAAAATGCTGATAAATACTGTGTGTTTTTGTCATCGTCCTCATCTGAGCTTAGACTTGTGAGACCCTGCTTCTCAGCTTCACTCACTCGCCTGAGTTTCTCCTGTAAGTCTGAGTGAGAGCTCTGAAGCTCGCTGATTTGTTCCCGGAGTCCAGACTCCCTCTCTGTCATTATGACATCAGCTTGGGCCAGAGTCTCCTCAAAGGCAGCCTGCCTTTCCTCTAGTTCACTGATCCTCTGTTGCAAAGCTTCCTCGTGGGCTGTCATGTCTACGATCCTCTTTTGCAGGGATGCAACAGATTGCTGTTCCAGAGCTGAAGTTTTTCTTTCATTTTCAGATTGCTCAATTTCTTGGAGTCTGTTTTCCAGATCTTTGCAGCTGTTTTGAGATGACTCCAGATCTTGGGTTAGCATTTCAAGGTCCCCTGTCAGCTTCCTGATCTTGTCATTCTTTACTTTCAGCTCTTGAAAGGTCTCTTCCAGCTGCTGGGACTTTGTTTCCAGATCTACAGCAGCTGTAACATTTGCCTCTAATGTCACATTTTCTTCCTTAAGACGGGCTACATTCTCCCTTAGTTCAAACAGTGCACTTTCTTGGATTTCATAAAGTTCAGTTTTTTCTTGCAACTTCTGGTTTGTCTCTGTCAAAATAATGTCTGCTTGGGCCAGGGTTTCCTCAAAAGCAGCCTGTCTATCCTGGAACTCCTCAATGCTTTCTTGAAGGGCTTTTTCATTTTCTGTCATAGCTCGGATCTTTTCTACCAGCAGGATAGGGTCCATGGAACTCTTGGGTGCACTTGCCACTTCTTGTGTTCCCACAGTGGTCGTCTCAATACCTGATTTTAGTGTGTCCTTTCCAACTGACTGATCTGATTTCTGCAATGATTCTAATTTAGCTATCAACTTCATTTCCTCTTTCTCCAACTCGTGGAGTTTTTCCTCCTGCAGCTGACATTTTTCCTCATACACCTTCAAAGAATTCATCAGGCCTTTCAGTTTTTCCTCTCCAATTTCCAGTTGCTGATTCTTCCTATCCAGTTCATGGGAAGTATCTTCCAGTAACTGCAACTTGTGGGAAGTTTCATTCTTGTTATATTCCAGTTGACTCCTCACGTCCTGTAGCTCTTGTTCTTTTGTTTCTAGTAGCTCATTTTGTTCACTAAGTTTTTGGTGTGTTTCAGACACAACTAGGTCTGCCTGAGCGACAGTCTCCTCATAAGCAAGTTGTCTTTCCTCCATTTCAGTTATTTTCTGTTGGAGTTCTCTTTCCCGTTCTGTCAGGTCTGTAACCCTCTGCTTCAGGGATTCTTTGCTATCTGGATGTCCACCTACACCGACTACTGTTAAAGCACTGGAAGCAGATTGTAGTTTTTGGTTTTCAGTTTCAAGCTCTCCTAACCTACTCAACTGTCTTTCTAACTCATGGACTCTTTCCCCTGCTTTTTCTTGTTTCTCCCTCCGCAAGAGTAACTCCTCTTTGGCAGTTTGGAGCTCATTTTGTACCAACTGCAGTTCTTCAGAGGACTCCTCAAGAAGTTCTGCCTCAACATCAAATTTGTCTTGAAGGGTCTCCTTAGCCTCCTCCAACTCTTTCATGGTTTCTCTGAGCTCATTAAGCTCCTGACTTTTTTCATCTAGTTGGCCACTCAGTGAGCTTGCTTTATCTTGTGCTTCTTCCATTTGCTTTTTCATATTCTCATTTTCCCTTTCCACTTTGGCTAGCACCACTGTCTGGTCGAAAAACTGTGACTCTACATCCTCCAATTCCTTGAGTCTCTTCTTGATGTCAGCAAGCTCCCGAGTTGAGTCATCACACTCAAGGGATTTCCTCATTGAATCCTTTCTAGCCACTTTCAGTTCTGACTTTTGGCCTTGCAGCTCTTTCTCAATGAGATTGACTTGTTCTTGAAGTTTGCCACACATCTCTTCTGCTGATGCAAGCTTCAAAATGAGCATTTGGTTTTCTTCCTCAAATCGTTTCTGTTCCTGCTGGAAATTCTCAGAGTCTGGTAAACTGGAACATGCTTCTCCAAGACGCTTCTCAAGCTCTTCTTTCTCTCTCTCCAAGTCTTCAATTCTGTGTTCTAGTTCTGCATGTAACTCAGATGACAACTCCTCCAAACGGGTGAGTTCATATTCTGTGGAGTCCAGCTGCTGTTGCAGACTCTCTTTACTAGCCTGCAGATCATCAATTACACTTTTCAGCTCCTTGCATTCTGTCTGCAACTGTTCTTCAAGTTGAGCTTTCTCAGACTTGCTCTGCATAAGTTCCCGGTGAAGCTCTTCAACACTGTCGTGTCTTCCAGTGGTTACAACATGGCTTTGATCATTCCTGGCCTGGAGTTGTTCTTCCAGTTGTTCGTTTCCCCTTTCTAGTTCATGTAGTTTTCTGTGCTCATCAGCTGGCCTTTCTGTTAGATCCAAGTTTTCCTCCTTGACAGCTCCAAGCTCATGTTGTAATTCTTTCGTATTCTCCTTTTTCTCCACATCATTTGAATCCACACGTAAGCTTTTACTACTTCCTTCATGTGCTTGATTTCCTATATCTGCCTCCAGCTGCTTTACTATTTCTTTTAATGTTATTTTTTCCTCTTCTGCTTCTTCAAGGACCCTGACCATTTCGGGAATCTGTGTTTGTAATTCCTCAAGTTCCTGAATTTTTTGTTTGAGACTCTCATTTTCTTCGGCACATTCAAATGCCTGGCTCCTAAGGTCTTGGCACAGGTCGCCCAGCTCCGCATTAGCTTGTTCTAGTGCTTGTACCTTTTCCATGAGCTCTGTCTCAGACTTCTCCAGTTCTGCAATGTGATCATCTTTATTTGGCTCTTGATCTGCCCCTCTTTGATCTGCATCCTCTTCTTCATCCTCGACGTACTCTTCCTGAGCCAGTGATGCAAGCTCTCCTATCAGTCCCAAACTTTCCCCTAGGAAAGAAGATGCCCCATGGGAGGCACTCAGCTCATCTCGGGCAAACTTCTCAGCCACCTGCAGCTCCTCAATACGCTCCTCAGCCTCATCCAGCTTTCCCTTCAGTTGTAGTCTCAGCTCTTCCAAGTCATGGATCCTGTCTTGAAGAGATTCTACTTTTGTGCTCCACGTGTTATCCTGTTCTTCCAGTTGGGAAACCCTGTCCAGCAAGCTCTGCTCTGAATGCTGCAGCTCCTGGATACTGCTCTGGAGTGCCTTCTCCCTGTCTCTCGCATCAGCTGCAACCTTCTCTACAACCTCTCTACTGTCTACATCAGATGCCTGACTCTGCTTCAGTTGTCTTGACAGCAGCTTGTTCGACTGTTCTAACTCGGCGATCTTCTCCCTCAATGATTCCTCGTTTGCAAAGTCACTGATGAGTACCAGCTCCTCCACATCTCTCAACTTAGCCTCGAGATACTCCTTCTCAAGTTCCAGCTGCTGCACTCTCTGCTGTAGGGCATTCACATCTTGCGAGGTCTCCATTGTGGCCTTGTTATTGCTTTCGTTGGTATCGCTACCCCTGTCAAGTTGTGGCTTCACCTCTTGTATCCCTGACAGCTGTGTACTCAGGTCTTCAATGTGCTTCTTGAAATTTGCCTCAGCTTGCTCTTTCTTCTTCAGCTTTTTCTGAAGTTTCTCCTCTTCCTCGCTGGGATGGGGTACAAGATAAATAAATAATGGGAAACATTAAGAGTGCGTTTCCAAGGAAATTTACATAATGTGAATGTATCAGGCTGTTAGGAACATATTTAATATAAAGGAAGTAAACAATTAGTGTGACAGTGATTTTACAAAACTTTTATCAGTTTTTTAAATTTCACAGTGTATCCCAATTCCTAGACTGAGAAAGCAAATGAAGCAAGATTTTAAACATCCTTGTATAAACGTGCGAAGACATCTTAATTACTTCACAATTTGGCTCATACATGCTTTCAACTGGTTATATCATGCATTCTTCAATACCTAAAATCAGTGTTAAGGGCATTTCATGAGAATGGATCATCACAGTGCAGTTCAAAAGTCACTGCAATTAGAACAAATGCCTGTTGTAGGTCACCTTTAACCCCTTCACACCGGGAGGCGGCTATAGCCGCCATAAAAATTGAGATCCTCGGCCCGCTTTTCAGCTATTATTCTCANGAGGCAACAGGAATGTGGAAGGGTGAGTAGAGCCGCATGCCACCGAACAATCAGCCTTTTCACCATGTAATTCAAAGCGTGCAGAGCACGCAGGGCCACAAACCGAGAATTTGCAATTTGGCAGGTGGCCTTCATGGCCAAGCAAGGCTGGAATTCTTGGAGTCAGCTTTCGGGAAGAAATTCCCGTCGTCAAGGGGTTAAGCAAAAGGCTATTAATAAATAAGGATCTTTTTGACATTGTAACTCACAGCAAGGCTTCTTGACGTCCTTCAAGACTCCTCAGTCTCTCGACTACGTCATCTCTCTCTTTGGCCAGTCCCTCAAAAGTCTCTTTCAAGAATGCAATCTCTGCCTCCAGATCTTCTTTCTCCTGATTCCTCTCAGCCAGACCTAGGTGGATGTCCCCCTGCAGCTGGCCCAGCTGGTCCTCCAGCTCCTGGATGTGGGAGCGAAGGTGGGCCTCAGTTCGCTCTAAGTCTGATACCCTCTAGTTTTGACACGAAAAAAAAGGATTTAACAATTAACAGAGTCCCTTGATTGAAGCAGTGTTGTAGTCCTGTCCAACACTGGGAGTACTTTGCATGATGTCTGGTATCCAGACTCTTTGATTGCAATTAATTAGAAGTGTTTACAATCTGTGCAACCCAGGCTGAAGACACATGTACACATGCACGTATTCAGTTCCCAATGCAATTATGATCATTTATTCCTAGCTTAGATCATTCTATGATCTTTTATCACTACACGTAATAAAGATCGACTCCAAGGAAAGTGTTTAAAGTATAGAAAAATGCAATGTCGAAGATGGCACAAGCTCAGCATTTTGGAAAGGCTTTAATGTTAGTGATGCAGATGTAAAGAAATGTAAACCACAATGCTTTAATTTCACACAAGAAAGTACATTTGGCATACAAAATGTACACTCTTTAAAGAGACTTTCTCTTCGTGTTTTATCTTGACTATCATTTGTGTTCAGCAAAAGGAATACTTCCACATCTGAATAAAGTGTCATTTTCATGTAATACTCCAATTAAATGCGTGAAGCACCTTGAATCAAAGGCATCAAATTTCAAGCACAAATGCATACCTGGAGAGGTTTAATTTAGAAAGAAAACATTATAAATATTGTAAATGAAGTGTACAGATATCAATAGCAAGGAAAATAAAGAACACATGGTGAGAAACAGGAAATCAAATAACAAAAGATCAAGTACAAAGTACAACAGCATGTAATCAGGATCTCTGCAATGGAACAACTAGAGAGAAATCACAGTTGTTTGAAAATAGCAAGTCTTCTGTAAATGTGGAAAAGACTAGTGGCAGTGGTTAATGAAGATACTTCTATAAATAATATTATTATTATATTACCCCAAGTTTTAGGGGGGTTACTCTGAACTTTTGAACAGTGTTCTTATGCAGCAAGAAGAATGGTATTTGTATTTCTCTAAAATTGCAGTAGAAACTGCAATAAAATCTCCCCCATACCTCAATGATAAATTTAAATAGAATGCAAATATACTTGTGAATGCATGGGCAAAACTCCCACCCCCCTACGCAGAGCCGAATTCACACCATTTTATTTTTCTGTGATATCCGCTGCTGTAATAAATTCAAGCCACCCGATCCCAGTAAACTTGGTGGTCAAGTGGTTATCTACATCAGTAAGCAGGAAATCATGGGTTCAAATCCCACCCAAGCCAACTTTTGATTTTTTGAAACTCTCAGAACAAAGTGTGAATATACACTGGTTAAAGGACAAAATGTGATACCAAAGTGAGAACAAAATACTTAAGTGTACAAATATGTTTCATTTCATGAAATGATATACTTCATATGTGATTTGTCTATAGGCCAAACTTGCAGAAATTTGTGCATACCTGCATTTCAAAATTTTGAAAATCTTAGAACTGCCATACTAAACACGTAAGCGGTAAGGCAGATCTGGTCTCACAAAGTGAACTGTAGACTTATCAAAAGTACTTATAACAACAAAAATCTGAACAAAAGTCAAGGCAGCATACCAGTACCAGAACTCACAAAAGTGAACTAACAGATGTGGGGCATACTTGGGAAAGGAAAACATGTACATGTGGAATAGATGATTCAAACCCATCATGTTTCAGGTTTTTGTCAACTCTTAGCCTTTAGCATTCCAAAGCAAGCCTGCAAGTACACCATCTCACAAACTAATGTTGATGCCTAGGTACGGCACTTACATTATCAATTATCAAGCAATCAGAAGTTTATCTCCAAATGCTCAGGTTAATGTCATCTGCAGTACTGTAGGCTATACCCAGACTACCACCTGGGGACCATACATTAAGCACCCAGCCCATCATGAAACACTGCCATCCAGCACTCACAAAGTTCAAACCTACCTCCCCAAACCACTCCAGCGACAGGTAAACAAGGCCACCAGGTCACGAATTCAACTACTGAATCAGAAAACACAATCCTGTCACCCACTGAACAGATGTACAGTAGGCAGTTATAAACCGGACCCTCAATAACTTGGGTGCAAGTCCCAACAGTTTACTATGTACACAAAGGCTATTTGTAAGTCAGATCAATACATTCCAAAAGTACATACAAACTGTAATCCAAATCAATCTCCACAGAGTGCTTTAATACCAATGGGGCAGGGGTTGAAGGAAGGTGTATATTGTGTGCCAAATTCTGTATTTGAATAACAATGTGAACCTTGTGTTGTGGAGCTACAGTCACTGCAGACTGTGAATAAGTTGTGAAGCCCAGCTTAATTTTTTTAATGTCAAGTAATATAATCCAGCCTTGTTTCTGAGAAGAAATTTGTTGGCTAGCAGCTAATTTTTCCTGATTAACTTTATCTCACGAGTGAATCATTTAAATTGACTCAGCAATTCCATGCCAAGCGATTCACCAACAAAATTTTGACAGTGCAGCAGGCAGTCAAGTGTAACTGATTATGCCACAGGCATGTTACCATGGTTACTGCAACAGAACTTTGACGGGCACTGGCAGCAATTGGTGGCGCTTGTCAATGATAACTGTTGTCATTTCACATGCCACTTATTCTTCAAGCCACTTCCTTGCACTGTATGTTTTAAAAGTTCTGTTTCTGCTTTTCCAGGTAAAGAAAATTGGAGATATATAATGAAATATTTGGAAATGTGGATGTACATGTTCAATTGTACTTTATAGGAATCTTCCAAATTTGTGGAGATTCCAAACTTGACCCCAACTATAAAACAAGTCACAGATTTTAATGCACAAATTTTTTCACACCAAGAGGCAAAATTTTGGGCAGTTTTACAAAACTTGCCACTATTTTAATTACACAAAAATAAAATGACAGTTGACAATTTTTTTCTGCTCCTTTTTTCTCTAAATGCTCAGATTTTTACCTCGAGTTTTTAAAGATCAGTCTATAGTACCTACACAACGGGTGAAGAGCAATGACAAACATGTACATGTAAGTCAATTATGGCCCTCAATGCCTTCAATGCAGAAAATATCTACAGCAACATTTGATTGTAATGAATAAATGTTGTGTGTTATAGATCAGTGCTACAGTGCAGAGAAGAATACAAGGTGTTCAAGTGGAAAGAAAAGGTAGAGTTGAGACAGCATGTAGACTGTATGAAGAATAAAACTGGAGAGATGTCAAGGGGGAATGTGAAGTCGCTGATAGTGCAAGCAAATCTTGTTTAGTTTACCATCTTTGCCAATTGTAGTTGATGCTGTAGTGCAAGTTCACCCTCATTGGCCAGTTTGTGTGACCTACAAAGCTCCTGGGAACCAATCAGCAGGATGCATTTGTTGGTTAATAGCAAAATAACAATTTAAAGTTAATCCAGCACATCGCAACTTAAGACAAAAAGGGATCATAATGAAATCTCCGAAACTGTCAACAGGATGAATCAACTACTGCAAAAATATAAATACAAGCTACATGTAAAGCATACAAGCACACAACTAAACGCAAAACCTAAAAGAAGTTTGAATGAAATCCATTAACAATTCTCCCCTTCAGCAATTACTCCTGCAAAAAGCCATGCTGAATACAGTAGTGTTTTTGAGACTGTCCTTGCTCTGAATACTTAACAAACCATCATTATCATCATTGGTTATGAATTTCAACGAGACTCTTGAAGTTGAGTAGCACACGTACGTGTATGTTTCAAGTGACTTTTTTGCAGTTTTCTCATTTCCAAACTGAAGGACATATGCATTTACCAGACGGCACTTTTTTCTTTTTTTTCCCATCAGGATGACGGTGACAGCACGAAGAGGGGAAGACTCCTGCAGAGACCAAAACTATGTGTAATGCCGCTAGCCGATCCAGATGGGAGGGGGAGGCACAACCTACATATACATGTACATGTATGTGCAACCAAACTCTAACTCCAAATATGTTCATTTTAGGACACATATCCTGGCTTCTTTCCCAGTTTTATTCAGATATAGACTTTCACTAAAGATGAGTTAATGTATGGCCCCTTATGTTACAGAGTTTCCGCCTCCATCTAAGAGCCCCTCCCTTTCTATACATGTAAATGCTGAATGCACAACTACTGTACATGTACCTACAAATAATGTTAAAAATGACAACAAAGATGCAGTATGGGGTCGCACTGTAGATTTGTACATATGTACCTGTACTTCCAAAGCTACCCAATGAACATAGAGATAACTTAAGCTTTATTGTGAGCTGAGATGATCAGTGAGCAAAACTATGTATCGCTAACTGCAACACTGCCCCCAATTAAAATAACAATTTTTATGGCTTTTTGTAATATTGGAATAAAACCAACACTGTCAACGTTAATCACATGAACACAGAAACAAACAACAAAAGTAGACACTGAACTGGTTGACTGAGTGATTTTCAAATTGGAAGAGAAAAAGAAGAAAAACAAGTGAAACATCTGTGTGCAGCAAAATAAACAAGCCATGCAGTGCAAAAGTTAAAGTTGCCAACAACACTTAATACAGTACCCTGTCCCTAACCATACAACAGTAAAGGTTGTTATCTTTTAGGCAACCTGCTTAAATGTAAATGTGACTGGACACAGCACCAGAATGAAACTGTGGACATGTGAATTTTAAAAAAGGCTAAGCAATATGCAGTTACACAGTCTCTCTCCAAGCCAGTAACATATCATGTACAAATCCATTTTGTCTGCTGTTGTATTGCACTGTGTTTAAAAACACTACAAAGGGGCTAGCAATATATTGTGATTTTCTCAACCATTACATTAAAGGCATTATATCCTCTGATCTGAATATGATTTTACGGACATCCTATGGAATTGGGGTAAAATAAGCATTTAAGCACCAGAAAAGTTACAAAACCGTTTTCACATTTACTCTCATAAAATTTCCATTCAACTCGTTGACCATTTACAGTACAACTACATGTACCCGTGCCTGTCTGCAAGTACATTTCTAATCCTTTTTTCAGCCTCTTTTATAGAATGCTGTACATCTATCATGACAACCACTGTACCTTCTTAATAATGCAGTGAATAATGAACTAAATGAATGGATGAAACATGTTTGGAAAGGAAGCTACATGTATATTTCATATCTTACATATAAGTCAAATTTTACATATTCTTGACGGGACTGCATGTTTGTTTCAACACTAAATCCTCAGCAGGTTTACACACATGTACAGTATTAGTGTGCAATTCATGCCCTCCATACATGCCATAGAGAAATGACTGTTCCTATGAGAAGCATTGTAAGGTAACACAGCACCGTCTCTTGTCAAGTAAAAATGTCCAAACATTCCTCCACTTGGAAACATGCTTTATTTCACCTCTAACAAACAACAATATGTACAAATATCTATGAATGCTCAGACACAGGGAGAAATGTCCCAATTTGATGTAAACAGGAACCATGGAATAACTGGGAACATGTCTGGTTAAAGGTAATGGGAGAGAGGGGGCCACTTGGGGTGTAAAGGTTTGACTTGGTAAGGAAGCTTCCAAGCTATTCCCATTAGGTCATCTCTGACTATAACTACAGGGACAGATCACATGGTCCAGGACAAGGTTTCCAACAAACATTAGACAGACATGTACATATACTGACACCCCATCCAATATGAGTCATTTCAAGAAAAAACACACCATCCCACACATCAAAAGTGCAACAGTTCCAAAAAAGGTGAAAATGAAACATTCAAAAATGAGTTTACCTTTTACTTCTATGGCAGCAGCAACAAGACAAGACAATATATAACAACTGTGAATGCTTTCTTTAACTTTTGTTTTCAGGCAAAAGACTTATGGGTTTGCACAGGGAAAGACACAGCTTTGATTAGCCTTTTCGTGCAGAAACGTCAAACCAAATAAATAAAAAATCCACTTTAAATGATGTAAACGAGGCAAATAAATTACCTGTTCCTTTTCTTCCTCCATCATCTGTATGCGCTCCCTCTGGCATTCAACTTCCTTCCGCAGTGACTGTAACTGAGTGTCTTTCTCCAGAAGGTGGCCTTCTAGTGTTTTCGCTTTCTGCAGTGGGAAAAATTCTTGTCAACTTCAGCACGTGGATACGATCGGATTGTGTAGAAGAGGGATGATATTTGTGCCAGATGGTGTGAACCAGAAAAGCCACCTGCCAACTTTACATAGAGCATGTACTTTCAAAACATAGTGGGAAACCAAAATAAAAAAGTAATGTGGGATATGTGGGCTCGGAACACACTGTAACCAAGTAAGAGATCGCACTCAGGAGTGTCTATTCCTTAACTATTTATCACCACAGCCCTTCGAGAGAAGGTTGGCGATCCCTTCTTCCCTGATGTGGCTGAAGAGGCCAAGGTTACTGGTACCAGTGTACCTCTAAGAAGTCATGGGCAATGTGAGCATGACAGGATAGGCCGACTCTGTATATTACTCTGCGACTGATGCCTCTGCTAGCACTTGGCCTGAACGTATTCTCAAAATATTCCACACCAGAATCATGGACTTGCCTCCACAACTACCAGTACTTACATGTAGCTACTAAAATATTAAACATGTAATGTGCATGTACACGCACCGGTAGCTATAATAACTGTTCCATGAGATATGCATACTCTGCAAAAGTAAGCCTATAAAAACAGTTTCTTTGAAAGTTTGGCAACCTTTTTACACTACAGAAACAAGGCTGAAGAGGGTGGTCAATTGGACAAACTATTGCCCGTCAGTTGTTCAGGTATTAAGAAAGAAATTCACTGCATGTTATCATCATTCAACAAATTTCTGTTGTCTCATATACATGTAATGAGCACATATGTGTGTTTAGTACATGTGTAAATAGATTTGTGTAGAAAAGGGGGAACAAATATGCACCTGGCCAGTCTCAAACGTTCAAGTCAGTTCAGTTCAGGAGAAGTGATGCTGATAATGCCCTCGGCACAGTCTTAAATGTTAAAACCTGCCAAGCATACATTTGTTCCTATACCTATACCTTTTCAGTCAGAAAGACAAAACAACTATAAAAATTTTCAACAACTTTGTTAACCCCTTCGCTAGGGATGACTGCTACTACAGCACCTTTGTGTGGGGATTAGTGCATACCACACATACAGTCTATAGACCATGCAGCTGCTGGTTCAATGGGGCCTGCTGCTGGACAAAGCCCTCCAATCATGGCATGCCACAACCCAGCAGCCCAGCAGTTGCAGTCAAAATGATAATGAAGGAGTTAATGATTTATGCATTTTCACAAATACAGTACCTTATAAGTAAGAAAGTCATACTACGTTCAATAAATGAAGATTTTCAACAATTCTGTTTGCTCATTTTGTCGAATTTCTGGTTTTTTAAACACACTTCTGCCCATGTTATGGTTAAGAGTGTCTCTGCGAGCCAAAGCCTTATGACTCTCTAAAGACCAGTCATGTGACAGCTCTCAACCAATGGAAATAGCCAAACTGTCTTGGGTATTTATGAATAAACATGAAATACATGTTCCCGTTCATGTGCCTATTTATGCTTGTGAAGAATTTTAATAAGGCTTAGTGATGGGGTAAAATTTTAGAATATTTACTGCAAAGATACCATACATGTACATGTAGTCAGCGATGCACAGTGCGCATGCTACATTCGATAAAAGAGCTGATGGGTGCTTCTGTTCACATACATGTAGATGTACTAAAATGTCATACATCCATGCTAGGCAGTCATAGCAGGTAGACAGCTAAAGGTCATGAATTTAACTCTTCAATTAAGTTGACCAAAAGTAAGAGAACAGTCTGTTGGATAACAGCATGTGTGAGAAAGATATGTGTGCTGCACAATGTGGAAGGATTATGATGGCACTAGGGTCTGTCCAAACTCTGTTAATTTGTCTATTTATGTGGATGTTTGTTGGTCAGTTTGTTTTAGAAACCATAATTTGTTATGTACATGTACATGAACATCAAGTTTTTGAAGATAAATTGAAAGGGTCACTCTCCTGAACAGGTTGGTATCTCATATGGGTCAGAGACAAAGGCCACCTGAACTCCTGGTTCATCTTCTTTTTGTATAATTGAACAATGCCACAAACCCATTGTACATGGACATGTAACTGGGGCCACGCTTTTTTGCCAAAACCCAGGTTGGGATTGGCATGGTCATCCCCAGCGCCCTTTTGAACAGGAAATCCCTGCTATGAGCACACCCCTCCATCACTTTCACAACAGCTACAGGGGGCTTATATAAAGTCATCCACTCAATAAGGAGTGAACGTCACCCGCAAAATACCACCAATCAAACACGATTATATCAAGACACTTTGCTTACCTGAGTCATGTACACACGGGGCACATGTCTGGCGTAAGTTTTGACAACCAAAGTCTGAATAAGGGTGATTCAGAAAGGGAATCCAGGCAAAGGTTTGAGAAAGATGAAGGGGAGAAACAGGAACTGAAACTAATTTTCTTCTTGTCTCTTTTCTGCCAGCGGGCATCGACTTTTTCTCTTTTCACCCGCAGTTAGGGATTCAAAACCATGGATTCAAAAATCCATTTTCAGTTAAGAACAAAAATGTCACTTTATGTTTTGCTGGTGATATGCTGCCTTGGGACAGTGGAAAATTTAACACAAGATACACGCAGCATACGCCATGTGGTCTTTGCTTAATAGAAATGCTGAGAGTGGTACCTGGTTTTCATCGTCTGTGGAGGGGCTTGCAACTGGACTGACTGAATCCTGCTCTTCAAGCTCTAGAATTCTAAACTCCAGGAGTTCATTCTGGTCTTTGCTGTCCTGCAACATCCACTCCAGCTTGCTGCATTTCTCCTCCAGCTCTTTGTTCTGGTTTTTAGAAAGTGCCACCACAAAGGCGGAGAAATACTTGTTTCAGAAGTCTGTTCAGAAAGACAAACCAAACTTTAGGCTGTTAAGACAGGTAAGGGGTCATACAACTGGTGCTCCTCACCTGCTGGACCAGCTTCTTATTGCACTGTCTTTGTGGTAGTTGTTTACCGTCCCTCGTCTTAGTGTCTTCACCCGGTTGTCTTGTGGAGAGATGTTCTTCGCTCAAGTCCTGCCATCAAAGGAGGCATGTGGGAATACAGTTTAAAATCCAGCAGCTCAGCTGGCTTAAATATGACCCTACATGTACTTCTCAACACAATTTTCTATACTAACAGTTCCTATCAAGTTGGTGAGAATTACAGTATCTATAGCAACATGGATAGGTGCCATCTCTGGAAGTGGAGGAGGAACCCCACTGGGTACAACCTTACCGGCTACTTTATACATCACAAAAATGTTACTGCATGGTTAATTTTTGATATTTCATGGACTTGCCGCGTGTGTGTGCATCAACAGGCAACAGTTACATACATGTACATGAACATCAACTTTTCCTATTACTGTTGTATGACATTAATTATTTTTCATATTTATATTAAACATGGACCATCTTAAAATCTTCAGATCAAACTTCCCCTATACACAAAACTCAATTTACAGATACATATATTACAAACTTAATTAATACAGGTAAGTTGTTACTGTTTAGGCCCACGGAGCAAAAATCACAAGAGCTCATCACAGGAACATACAAATCATGATTTTGCTAAGCAAGCTCAGGAAATGTTGCTTAGCCACCCATTAGCATTTGGCCTTTGACCTTTGGTGAGCCTTAATACAATACCTCCTCTGGCCCATCCTCGCTATCAGACAGCACCAGTGGCGAAAGTATGGAGGTATCCAGTGAGCCAGAGCGGCTCCTCATGCCCATGTCCTCCTCTAAGCTGAAGGGGGTCAGGCTTGATGACCTAGGCCGGGAGATGGGCACAGGAAGTCGGGATGGGGTGTGGTCAGGTGTGGCCTTGGTCAACCGCTCTTGTTCCTGAGGAGGAAAAGTTCCAATTTCATTCCAAAAATCTACATTTAGGTCCTTTTTTCAAGGATGCTCCTGATCACTGATGTATTTTCTCATGCAAGGCTTATTTGTTACAGTATGTCTACTTGTTTTGTCAACAAATCTCCCTTTTACATGTATGTTCTCAAACTGTGTCCAGGATTGAGCCCCCATTACTAGTCCTCAGACTGGTTGTGTTTAGTGCAGTTTTAGCCCAATAGCCTCCATGCCCATAAACAGTTTATATGCACTGAATCTAC